TTATCTTTCAACTAGGCCGGCGGCCCGCTGGGCCCCTTCTCCGGGACACGCAGTCTGCCTCCCTTGTGGGCGGCAGCTGGGCCCTTCCTCCAATTGGGGTGATGTGTCTACCACGCCGGCAGGCCGCTGGGCCTTTTCTGCCGGTCGGTTGCAGGTCTGCCTACCTTGCAGGCGCGGGCGGCGGCTCTGCTCTGCCCCTCCTCCAATTGGGGTGACGTGTCTACCCCGCTGGCGGGTCACTGGGCCTGTTCTGCCGGTCGGTCACAGGTCTGCCTACCTTGTAGGCGAGGGCAGTGGCCGTGACGTGGGGTCTTGCTAAGCAAACCCGCCTTCTCTTTCTCTCTGGCTCAAAGGATATCTGAGCCAACGTGGCAGTACTGGGGCACTTCTGTGGACCTCCCTCATCCCCAAACTTAAAAAAAACCAAGCAACTTTTTTTGATTTCATAATCTTAAACTTCCCTTTTTGTTTTTAATTGTACTTTTTATGTCCTCATTATTTAATTGCTGTGTTTTCTCTGTAGGTCATGGTATAATGTAAAAAATAATAAGAAGAAAATGTCCAAACCAAAATTAAAATTATATAAAAATTATGGCTGCAGATGGACAAGGTCTGAAAGGAGCACTCACACTTTGAAAATGGCTTATTTTGTTGGTGTGTGATTGTATTGAGGGAGAACATTTTAACTCTTTAATTATAGAATTTGCTTGTGCTTTGGTATTATAGTCAGCTCTCTGTATCTGTGGGTTCTACACCCACGGATTCAACCAATCTTGGATAGAAAATGTTTGGGAAAAAAGTTGTACCTGTACTGAAAACATAGAATAATTTGACATTATTCCCAAAACAACGAAGTCTAACAGCTATTTACATAGGATGTACATTGTATTAGGTTTGGTAGATAGTCCAGAATGATTTGAAGTATACAGGATGATGTATGGTTATATATAAACACTGTGCTATTTTACATATCAGAGTGTCCACTTTTACTTGAGTGTCCACTTCTGGTATATGTTAGGGGGCCCTTGAACCTCCAGTATAATAATAATAAAAAAAAAACCTTCTTCTCTAATAGAATTGAATTTCTCTTTACTGTTTATAATTCATGATAGGTTCTTGGTCGAGTTGTTTTGCACTAAATATTTAGGGCAATCATATCATTTTTATCCAAGAAAAGTAATTAACATTTAATTTTTAAAATTTATTTATTTAAAAAAAATTTTTTTTAGATGTTGATGGACCTTTATTTTATTCATTTATTTATATGTGGTACTGAGAATCGAACCCAGTGTCTCATACATGCTAGGCAAGTGCACTCCTGAGAAACTGATGTGACTCCATTTTTGAGAAACCAGCCTCTACCTCAGAGCAAAGCTTGTTCAAGGAATCGGGCGTGGCCCTTGTCCTTGGAAAAACCCACAGAGCACTCCTAGGTACATACCCACCCTGGTGAGTTGTTTGTCTGCAAATAACAGGAGAGATCTGTGCCCAGGTGTCCCTGACTCAGTCAGGCTAGGTGAGGACCCAGAGCAACCCTGTAGCAACCACCGATCAGCATGAGACAGGAAAATACCTGGGATGCCTGATGACCCTCCGAGTAGTTTATGGTGGTTGATAACATGTTGGGAAACCATGTAGTTCAGCACGAACACCCCTTGTGGCTTAAACCAATGAGTTCAAACGAATCCCGCTCTTGTACTAACCAATCACCCTTATCCAACTTGTTCCCGCCAGTGAATGTGCTAATCATGTTTTAGAGTTGTTTTATGATTTTTCCACAGTGTGTGATGATTTGCTAAGAGATGCTATGAAGTATGTGAAGTCCCTGCCTTCCCCAAAGAGTGTACAAAACTGCTGCAAACCCTGGGATCGGGGCCTCTCAGCGTCACCATTTGCTGTGTGTGCTTGGAGGACCGCGCTAGCTCCCAATAAACACCTCTTTTGCTGCTTACATCAATCTTGGTCTCTGGTGGTCTCTTGGGGGTTCTGAACTCGAGCATATCACTACCACTGAGCCGCAATCCCAGCCCCAATTTTTTAAATTGAAATTAAAGAAATTAAATTAGCATTTTATTTTTAAAACATTTTCTTTGTTTCTTCCAAACATTTGATAATCCCTGATTTTGAGATATTATTAGCCATTGATGTTTGTTTGCAAAATGGTAATAATCTCATTTCATTATTCCACTTTTTGTTTATAGCTGAATACTTCTATTAAGAGATACTTATTTTTCATCGTTTATTTAGTTATCTTTAGGTGAAGTTCCTCCAGGAAAGACAAATAAGAGTTTTCTGGAATCCACCAGAGGCTCTTGTGTTAGCTTCCTATTGCTGGTGCAGCAGGTTACCATGAACTTGGTGACTTAGCAATAAAGAGTTAAAATCTTAACAGTTCTGAAATCAAGTCTGAATGAGGTCTCGCTAAGTAAGGCAGGGTAGGGCTTAGGCTCCTCCTGAGAGCTGCAGGGCACCCTGACCTCTTGGTCTTGTCCAGGTTCTAGAGACGCCTGGTTTCTAGTCCCACAACCCCTTTTCATCTTCATGGCCAGCAGTGATTGGCGGGGTCTTTTCTGCTTTCTTCTTTCACTTTTAAGGATCTTTGTGGTCCTGTTGCGCCCACCTGGGCAATCCAGGGTAGCATTTCTATTTTAAGGTCAGCTGATTTGGAACCTTCTTCCATTATATTTATTTCTTTTGCCATGTGGGAGTTAGGATGTGAACATCTTTGGGAGAAGGGGGCTATTATTCTGTCTATCAGATTTATGGAAGGCCTTTTTAAAAAGCATCATAAATTCATGGATTTTTTTGATTTTTTTTTTTAATTCTGGAGATTGAACCTAGAGCCTAGAGTAAGCTAAGTGCTCTGCCACTGAGCTACACCCTCAGCCCAGACTTTTGGATTTTTGATATATGAATTAATTATAATTATCTTTTTAAAAATTCTAATTTTTCTATTCTTGGACAATAGAATAAGCTTTTTCTAGTTGGTTCCTGAGTTCCTTGGACAGGAATCCTGTAGTCTTGAGAGTGTGCATAAGAATTACCTGAAGGGTTTGTGAAAACACAGATTGGTGGGCCTTCCTACATCAGAGGTTTTGGCTTAATAGATCTGAAGTGGGATCCTGAAGTGGGGATATTTGGTTGTCTCGTGATGCTAATTTTGCTGCTTTAGGAACTTAATTTTGAGAACTTCTGCTTTAAGGAACTCTGGTAGAGATTACAGTCTGGATACCAGGGAGGACACTGATGCTGGCCTTATTCAGTGGAAGGAAGGAAGTAAAATATAAGTTTACTGAGATTCAAATTTAAATTTAGAGTTACGAGTTTTAGCCTTTAAGTTTGTGTTCATTCTTATGCTTTTTCTGAGATTAATAATTACTTATTTAATAAATATATATTATATACATATATCTAACTTCAGCATACCGCTACCAAGATTATGACTTACAACAAGATGAATGAAAATAGTTTTAAGATTTTTTGCAGCCCCTTTTGTCTTTAGAGTAAAGTATCCCACCGGGGACCCACAAATTACTCTGCATTCAAGTTATTAAAATAATTCCTGTATGTTTGCTTAGCTAATCAACTCAATACCAAATTAGATTGGTTCTTTTGTTTGCACTGTTTTTAGTTTTAGGGGATTTTTATTTTCTTTTTAACATAATTCTGTAAACATTTAAATGGTTCCAACATCACATCTGTAAAATGAGTTCTAGCCTCTATTTCTGCTCTTCTACCTTGTTCTCTCTACCGTATAGGCAACTACCATTTAATTTGTTTTATGGTTAAATAAATGGTAGTATGCTGTCCATACTTATTTCTCTTGGGTTCTCCTCTCTCCCCTCACCCCTACTTAATATATTCTGAGGGTTTCTTTAGGGCAGTATATTTGTAGAGAGAGTTCCATTCCTTTTTCTTTATAGCTCAAGTGTGCCCCATTATAAGAACACGCCATAGTTGATTCCTCTATTGTGGACACTTGGGTTTTATAGCCTTTTGCTATTATGAATTGTGCTTCAATATTACAAATAGTACATATTTTAAGGTAGTCACGATTGTACTATAAACTGCCTTTTTTCATTTTTAACTCTATAACATGATAATTTCCCATATTATAGTCTTTATAAATAGTTCCATATTATAAATTCTTTGTAAATAGTATTGAGAAACTTTTTTTCCTGATTATGAAAGTAATACAAGATTACCTAGATTTTAGGAACTCAGAAGAAAAAAGGGTAAAACTGAAAAACACCTCCCTCCCTCCATGTAGGTGCACTGTTAATAATTTTTATATGTTCCCTGAGGACCTTGCAGCATTTGTGTAAACATCGAAAACAGCATCATGTTGTACATACAGTTTGGAATCCTGGTTTGATATTACTCATAATTGTCGCGACCCCCTCGCCAGCAAGGAAGACACGACACAGGATTCTTCTTTCAGCGGTTTATTCAGGCCTTAACTCTAGGTTTCTCTCAAGCGCTCTCTCCCATGCACCCACACACAGCCTAATAAAGCTTACTCAAGTCCAATCCAAGCCTGCCACGCGGGGTTTTCTCATAGGGTATTGAGGGACAGCACGCCAACTCTCCCTAATAAGGAGCTGTTTACCAAGATCCACAACGGAGACCGGCGCCATCTTCTAATGGCGGCAACGGTCTACAAACACGGCTCACCACACATAATTGTGCTTTTTCTATTCCATACTGTTTTAATTTTCTCATCATTACTTCTCTGTTGTTGGCTCCAGTTTCTTTCTGGTTTTTCAGCATTGTAAATAATATTGTGATAAATATAGGTGCACAAAACTTTTTCTAAATTTCAGATATTCTTAAAGTTGGCTTTTGTAAGATTCTGAATGAGCAGGAAATACACATTGGTTAAATACATCAATTAGCTTGTTTTCTTATAGTGATAATTTGGCAAGTCCAGTGGGTAATTGATTCTTACCTCAAAATTTTTATCAAATAAATTTCATTTTTTTTTCTTTTTCTCCTGGTAGGACCTGAGAAATGAAGTTGAAAAATTATGCAATGAAGTCAATGAAAGAGAGAAAGCAGTGGAGAATTGCTACAAGAGTCTTTTAAGTGAAAGCAATAACAAATTGCGTGGTCAAGAGCAAGTAATCAGACATCTGATAGAAAGTGCCAGTCAAAAGGACCCGCTGCTTCAGGTACTGCGACTTTTTTTTTTTCTTTTTTCTTTTAATCTTTTGATTTAGCATGGTTTTTAGGAACTGTTTTCTAGGAACTGTTATGATTATAGTTTTCATTGTTCTGTCTCAGAGAACTTTAGATGTCATTTATGTCATTTGAGCCTCAGCCATGAGGAGAGTAAGAGAAACAGGAAGCTCAGAGAGGAGAACAACTTGTCCTGGGTCATCTGATGAGTGGTAGAGCCCTGGCCTGTTTTTCTCTAGTGGGTACTTGCTGTTCCTTATTTGGGCCATGCCTCTTCACTACTCTGGACGACTTCTTTAAATGACTCCTTTTGGTCTTGGAATATATTTCTTGGGTTATGTAGTGAATTTTTCAGACTCAACACAGACTTATAGAACCATGGGAGGTTGAACACGAGTGTTTAATTCTGCTTCCTACTAAAATCTCACTAAAATAACCGTGAAGGAAGAAGAAGGTATAAAACCCACAATAACTAACGAGGACAGTGGGAGCAGGTACAATAGCCATTGTGAGTCGGCATGAAAAGTTTGGAGGATAAGTGGGTGGGCAAGTGGGAATTGCAGTAGGACTCAGCATTTGTTACCAGGCTATATACCTTGGGATGAAAGCCAAGAGAAGCAAGCCGATTTATATCGTGGCCCCAGGAAGGCTTAGTAGGTGCTGGATGCAGTGGTACCTTTGAAATGGGAGATCATGCTGGAATACCAAGCAGTTCTAGGTGACCCTCCTCTTCTCAGCAGCAGCACATGTGTGGAGACCTTAAACCAGATAAACTCTGGCCCTGAGCCACCAGATGCAACTGGGAGCAGGAGTGGGTTTTAGGGATCAGAGTGGGAGGGAGTAGAAGTGTACACACCAAGACCAGAGGTTCCTCTCAGGGGAGAAGTGACATAAGCTGCTGGCAGCTGACATCACACTGAGGACACCATTGACATGTCCTTTCCACACTCACAGAGCTCTGAGCACTTTTGTCTGTGAAAAGTAGGTAGACAGCCTGAGTTCATCAGATAGGTGAAAGTGTTTGAGAAGAAAGACAAAAAGGCCCAGACAGAACATAGGTGCACAGAGGAGATGGAAACAAGGCAAAGTTGGCCAGCTTTTAAAAATCCCCCAAATTAACACTATAGCCAAGGTATATAGAGCTCAGCGGTAGAGTGCTTGTCTAGCATGAGTGAGGCTCTGGGTTTGATCCCCAGCACCATAAAACACTACCACCAACAAAAATCAACCCACCAAATTATCCCTATTAAATGATTAGATAAGAAATAAAACTGGGATATGATATAAAAGAGATCTAGAAAAGAAGAATGGCCTGTTGGAAATTCAAAGTATGATTGTAGATATAAAACGTTTAATAGAAGAGTTAGTTATATTACTTACGAGTTTCTTATGAAAAAAAATAGAAGAGTTGGAAAAGTTGGAAGATAAGTCTTCTAGAAAATAGAATCACACCGACAAAAACATGGGCAAAAGGGAGAGAAAAGTTAAGAAAATTAGAGACATGGCTCAAGGGGTCCAAAAATATGGACTAATGGAAGTTCCAGGAGACACAGCAGGGAAAGCTGAGGAGGGAAGATTTCCAAGAAATGGGAGACCATGTCCCAGATTGGGGCCAGGTCTTCTACAATGCAAGGGCTTGCTCCATTTCTCTCACGGGGAATGAGAGAAAACCCGTACTCCAGGGCAGATCATTGTGAAATTTCAGAACACAGGAATAGAGAGAGGACCTGAAAGGCATCCAGAGAGAGGAAAATACAGGGCACCTAAAAAGGATGGGCTCAGATGACATCAGAATTCCCAACAGTACCCGTGGACACTGGAAGACAGAGGAAAAGTTATGAGCACTCTGTCCTCAACCGTGCTGTCAGCAAGTGTAAACGTGGAAGAAAGGTGTTTTCAGATGTTCAGTTTTGTCTTCAGTTGTTGGCCTCTTGTGTGCTCTTTGCAAAAAGCTCTTGGAGGCTGATTCTGTGCAAAGAAGGGAATAACCCAAAAGAAAGAGATGTTGGACCCAAAAAGGAGGAAATCCACTTGGAATGTTGTGAAGGGGAGTCCCAAGGTCACAGCTGAGCTGCCTATGTGGAGAGCTCAGGTTTGGGCTGTTGAGGGCTAGAGTTTCAGCTGGGCTTCTCCAGAAACTAACAAGGAACTGATCAGTTACCTGATGTGTTTGACTTCATTGAGTGAAATTTTTATGTTCTTTTAGAAAGTTTGGAGATAAATTTACATTTAGTATATAATTTAATTTTATGGATTAAGTAAACAAATAGAATAAGATAATTATTAATTCCAAGAAAGCAAAGAATTGAACATGAATGGAAATGAAATCATGGAGTGCTGTACACTGAGCCATATTTGTGTGGTTATGATAATATAAATGTGGGGTGCATGCCTGTAATCCTAGCGGCTTGGGAGGCTGAGGCTATCTGTAAATAAAATATAAAAAAGGGCTGTGGATGTGGCTTGTTGTAAGGCGCCCCTGGGTTCAATCCCTGGTATAGATGATGATGATGATGATGATGATGATGATGATATAACTAAAGATAAAATTGAGATGCAGATGATGTAAGAGCTAAATTTTTAAACCTCTATGATAGGAACCTATAGATACAATCAGAACTTAAGAAATCAAGAATGTGAAGGTAAAGAATGTAATCTAGAAATGTGGAAATAAATAGGAGAAGGAGATGAGGAGTTGCAGGTGTTTTTCTTTCTGGGTGTGGGGCTTCAAGACGAGAAGTGGGGAGGTCAGGCATTGCTGTTTTCCAGTTAAGCCTTATAGTGCTGTTTGAGTGTGAAACTACATGTGTATAATTGGACTTAAAAAATGAAAGTGGAAAGTGTGATTCAAGCACAGCTGTGTTAAGGCAATTCTAGAAAGTCAGCGCTCATTGTTTGATTCTTCCTAGTACAGTTCAATGGTTTCTTATGAAGACTTGCCTCTGCTTCTTTCTTTGCGTTCAGCTACTGTCTCTGTTTGGCATGATAAATTAGTTCTGCTAGGGGCTTAGGAGCAAGATATGGTTCCTTCCCTTAATTTCCCGCAGGGAAAGAACAGAGCCCTAGTTTGGAGCCATGAGTCTTTAAATGCTTGGTAATAAGTTCTGTGCTTGAACTTGGCCAAAGACCAGAGTAATGTCCTATCCAGTTGTTGGATTCAGGTCTCCTGAAGGAGTCAGGGAGAGGAATTTATTGTGTGTCGTCAAGAAAGAGCCTTTTGTGTGTGGCCAGACTCTACTGCCATATTTGTAGTTTTTTTTTTCTTCCCGAAAGTCAGATCTCCTTGTGGATATGGTCAGCTCAAGTTTTGTCAAAATTTATTATGTTTCAAGATAGACTTGGCTGGATTTTAATATACAAGTCCTCTGTTCACCCAGTAGGCTGGCAGGATAGGAAGCAGATCCGGGATCACACCTGAGCGGGGCAGGCCCAGGACTGGGACTGTTTCTCTTGGGACAGAGCCTGGACATTTTCTTCCACACCCGCTAAAGGACACTCACTGTGGTGGCAAGCCTGAAGGTTCCTAGCCCCTGGCGCCATCCTCAGCTCTGCCTTGCCACCAGTCTGCTTTTCTCTAAGTTGTAATAACGTGGAAATGGAGCTGCATTACGGTTTTATAATTGCCTAATATTTTGAAATGATGGAAATTATTTAGGGGACATGTGAGTATCATGACAAAATAAAAAATCTTCCCCTACAGGGTTTAGGACAATCTCTTAATATTTTTTCTTGATGAAAACTTTCTTATGATTTGTTTCATTTCCTTAGAAATTCAGTGAAAAAGATTTGGAAGCAGTACAGCAGAACCGGTATTTAATGACTGCCGAGGATCTTGAGTTCAGGAGCGAAGGCTTAATAACAGAAAAGTGCTCTTCTCAACAGTCACCAGGCAGCAAGCTCATCTTCTCTCAGGTAAGCTTGACTGAAATTGGATGTTCACATGCGAATGTATTCATATTCTCTTCTGAAACGTATTTGATAACTCCTCGGATCTAGCGATCCTCAGATGTCTTCTTGCTGATAATTGAGCTTATGACAGGCAGGACAGGGGGTTCTCTGTCTAGCCACCCTCAGATTAGCATTCTCCAGCTGAGCGTTTGTATTTGCCCTGCACACAAAACCGAGAATTGGCAGCTTGTTAAGAGAGGAGCCTCACATTTGCTCTATTGGGGTCACCTCTCAAGAACTGTGTGGTCCCAAACGTCTGGGGGATTCTTCTGTTGAAATGCATGTGAAGAGTGCCCCAGCAGGTGGACCACTCTTATCTAGCCCCAGATTATTTCGGGTCTCATTTTTTCCATCTCCAGTAGCAGCATTTGCTACAGATTCCTGCAGATACCCTCTGTGTTCCTCTCTAACTGGGGGGCTTTTCCCTCCCTGTTCACCTGCTAACTCCTGAGGGTTCCTGCAGATGTTGCCCTTCTATCTCCCTCCCTGTGGGCCCTGCTGAGAGGGGAGCCTCCTCTCTCTGGCCCACAGCCCTGTCCAGGACCTTGCAATGTGGCACGTGCTCCTCATGTAGATCCCACCTTTCTGCTTCCCCTCACTTGAACCCCAGTGCAGCACCAGGGCCAGGTACTTTGCGGGTGGCAATTGGCACTCATCCTTGAATCCCAGCACAGCCCAGTGCCCGGCTCTGAAAATGGTAGTTGAGTGAGTGAATAATGCAGCGAGGCAGCCAGACATGGGAAAGCTACGGAGTTGGCTGTATCCAATTTTTTTTTTTTAAAAACCTACCTCTAATTAAGTTCATATGTGCAGAAGACAGAAGACTCTTATGCAAATGAGTTCTCTGATGAATGACTCTGATTGTGACTTGTGGTTTTGTGAAGGGTGATTCTCAAAATAATTACAACTGGAACATCAGCCATCAGAACAGACTCAGGCAGTTGGTCTGGAGTGGGGAGATTGAGGCCTGCCTTTTTCCAGGCACCCCCACACCCCACATCCTGGATCAAGGGCAGGTCCCAGGGCAGTGGGGTGGATGGAGTGGATGGGCCTGGGCTCATTTTCCAATGAGTGTAGCAGCATTTCAGTAATTTTAGCAGCCAGTACCATCTGGGGCACTGTGTGCCCGCTGTGTCAGACCTGGTCTTGGTGTGTCATTGGCTGAACGTTTAGGATGCTTTCTCACTGTGTGTTTGTCCCTTTGCTGCTGTCCTTGAGAGTGTCAGCATGGGGTAGTGGAGTCTTGGGCTGGGCTGGGAATCTGGGGACCTGGATTTCTCTCTGGGCTCTGTCATTCCACATAGGTAGTAACCTTGGGCAAGTCTCATAACTGAGTGTTGGAGGGCTAGTATTTTGTGATTTTAACTTGCATTTAGTTATTGGATCTTGACAAAAATTAGCTGGGCGGTTAAAAAGCACATTCACCTGTAATAAGGTGGTCTATTTTGAAACAAAGTCGCAGACAATCTAGTTTTTCGGAGGGACATATCTTTACTAAAATGAATTCATTTAATTATTAAACTTTGCTAATTTGAATCTCATTTTAGTCATGTAAGAAGTGTTGAACAAAATGTTTATAAACTTACTGAATGATTGAGTATTTTCCAACTTAATGTCCCTTATTTTGTCATCTATACATTTTGTTTTTATTTTGTGCTGGATGATATCTGTACCTCAGTAATATCAGATCCAAGTGACATTTAAATTACTGTGCAAAATACCTAAGAATTTTAGTAAAGATTTTAATTCTGTTCTTCAAGACTAATTGCAAAATGTAAAATGTAGATAAAGAATTATAAATTATCACTTCAGAATTGTAAATCTGTAGGTGTCAATTTAAGAAATCCAGCTCTTGCAGCTTTATATATATTTTTTTCTTTCCAAGAGAAGTATGCTTTTCAGATTGTAGTCCTTTCTTTGTAGAAAATGTGGATTTTTTCCTGCTACGTCCTTGGTTGTTTTGTGTTGACCTAGGAATTATCCTCTGCCCATTTCTACCAAAAGCCTGAAGCTATTATGATGTCTCCATAGTCTCTGGGTAGTCTGTTTTCCTTCTAATCGTTGTGTGATCCTGAGAATTAATGCTAGATGATCAGGGAATTGAAGGAGAGAGAATAAAACACACTGACCATATTTGACTTGCTACCACCAGAGATTTATAGCTTGGTTATTAATGTGGTTGGGACATCGGTGGTGAATTTTCTTAAGTATTAAAATAAATGTCTTTGTTGCAGGGCTGTGACCTAGCTACTAGAAACCATCTATCTACGAGGCCCCTAAATTGCCCTGATTACCAAGAAGTGATCCATTAGGCTTTCTTTACATGTTTGCTGCCTCCTCAGAGTGTGGTCTGCACATGACATGTATTTCCTTCAAGTCGTTAAGAAAATGGTGGCAGTACAAAGTGCCCACTTTGGTGTCAGAATGCCAGTGCTGCTACTTAGTAGCTCCGTGACTTCAGGCAGGTTGCTTAGTCTTTCTGAAATGCACCTGTGTAATCTGGGAAGTGGGGAATTGCGTGCCTTCCTCTGAGAGTATTAGAAGTAGTGTAAGAGAGGAGGTAAAGGTTTTGGGGTTATAAGCTGTGGAAGCCCACATTGAGTAGTTTGAGGAAAACATCAGTGTAAGGGGGTCCCAGCTGGGCAGGACTAGAGGCTCTCCCAGACTCCAGGCAGGGGTTGAGCAGCTACAGCTGGGGAGGGTAAGAACCAGGACAGTCCCTTGGACCTTGAGGACAGAAGTCATGGGCTCTGGAGCTCTGCTTTTGACTTTGATCCTGTGACTCCAGATGTCTGGTGTCTTGGAATTCTTGGAATTTCCTAGTCCTCCAGGGCCCAGGACCTGTCACAATGGAGTGGTGTCTTCCTAGGACTTGCTTCCCAGTTTTTAGGGACATTCTTAGGCAAGGCAGGGGAGTGTGCCATCACTCCAAGGGCTGCGGAGGAAGTGCAGCAGGGTCAGACACAGTAGCTGTGAGATGGCGACAAGCCTTCTCTGTGCAAAGGGCCTGGTGGGGTGGGGCAGCTCCCCTGAGTGGCCTAGCCCTGCCTTTGAGCCTGGGCACTCTGCTGCTGGGTCGTCAGCTCTGCAGAGGGAGCCCAATGACTTCATTCTAGTGGGGTATGATTCTACGTGGGGAATAGGTGATTGATGAAATGGGACCCAAATGGCTCTGAAGAGTTCATTTATTTAACATGGGTGAGCAATTTGCTTCTAGGAAGACATTGACTCACCCTGACTTCCATTATGCAAAATACCCACAGGAAACTCTGCTCTTAAGATTCACATCAGTTCCTGTGTTTCTCTCTTACCTTTTTAATCATCAGCTCAGCAAGTATTTGTGATAGCATTTGATTTGTAGCAGACACTGTGCCTGGCTTGGGACAGTCCTGCTGGCAAGTCATCCTGACAGCGAGCAGGTGATGGCACACTAGCTCTGGGTTGCAGGTGAGCCTGCGTGCCCTTGCAGTTGGAGAGTTTCCTAGTGAGATTGGCCCCGGGCGATCCCGAGAGGCCCTGAGTGTGTCAGTGTGCAGTGGCAATTGATGCACTGTCTCTCCTTAAAGGCAGGAGGGGGATGAGGGCAGGAGCTGAGGAGAGTGGTGGCTTGTGAACCCTGGTGAGGGTTGGGAGTGGCCTCTAGGAAGAAGGGAGGGAGGGAGCTGAGCAGGGCAATTGGGCCCTGCTGGGGCAGTGGCTGGTCCCCCTCTGTGGCTTAGAGCCCAGGTTTCAGATATCGAGTTAAGAGATAAAGTCCAGGGCTTGGATTTTTTCACTGGACACTCCATCCACCAGAAATCCACATTTCCTAATCTTTTTTTCCTAGCCCTTCTTGGTTGGCTTTGAAGTTATATATGTGCACAAACTCCAGCTGAACCTATGTTAGCTGACTGGACTGGAGCAAGTTAACTCTGTTCCCTGAGAAGCAGTTCCATCATCCAAAAAATGGGGAAATGAATGTAGTCCTTTCAGCATTGTGATCAGAGATAAGATCTTTCAAGTATGGAGCACAACACTTGGGGCCTGGGGACTAGTTACAGATGGCATTTATGAAGTGTTGACTGCACGCAGCCTGGTATCATTCTGTGAGGTTCATATAGATTTAATTCATTTGATCTTCTTAACAACCCCATGTGCTTTAAAGAATTATTCCTTCATTTGGATATTGAAGCACAGAGAGGTTGAGAAACTTGCTCAAGATCACACACTTAATAACCATCACTTCCCCTCTTATTAGGTGCTCCAGAAGCAGTAGGTTTTTTTATTTTGTCACTATCTTTTCTTTTTCTTTGACTGTCTTTCACGTGGTCTAAGTAAGGGCGAGGCAGTGATGGGTGGGCCAAAGAGCACAGGCCCTGGAGTAAGCCCTGAATCAGGACCCTGACCTTGGGCTGGGCATCCTGTTAGTTTTCTTTCATTGATGAGAGAGTCCCACATGATGCTGTTGTGTTCAGAAGGCATTGAGGAGCCCCTGGAACTGGTTTATGGCATAATTTACAGAAGGGCCTGGCATTTCTGTTGGGCTGGTGACTGACTTGTCAGGACCAGCCTGGTGGCTTAGCCTTGCAGACCATCAACGGCAGGAGCTGCCTTGGCCTTGTCTTGTTGGGCTGGAAGCACAGTGGGGTTCTCTTGGGCCCAGGCTCTCTTCTCTTTGCTCCTCTGCATCCCTTTGGTGGCCTAACTAAAGCCGAGGACCCCCCCCCTCCATGAAAACACTACATGCACAAATTATATGCAGAGAGTTATGAAGGGAACCAAATATTCTTAAGTCCAGTTTTCAAAATATCAAAAATTATGCTATGGAAGTGATACTTTTATTCTTATGTTAAATAACACGGTCTAGTGGTGAGTACAGTGACTGCTGTAGCTTTGAAGTGGTGATGATAATTTTTTTCAGTGCTGGGAATGGAATCCAAGGCCTCGCACATGCTAAGCAGGCACTCCCCCACCGAGTCACACCCCTGGTCCCAAGAATGAATATTTTGAGGTATCAGTGATACGTACAAAACAAGTGTATTAACTGTAGTTTTTTTAATGATAAAGTTGTAGGAATGGCACACGCCTGGTCATTGTTTGGAGCAATAACAGTGTTCCTTAGCTCATAATTGAATTTCAGCTGAGGCTAATAGAAATGAAGATAGAATTTTTTTTTTTCCTGATCACATTCTTGCGACCCTTGAATTTTAGTGAGGTGTGATCTGCTGTCCTGGATGGTGTCTTGAATTCAGGAGGAAACCTAGGTCAATGTGAGCTACAGATGCTGTGGGCAGCCTGTTTCTCTGTTGACTAAGAGCTCTCGTCAGCACTTGGAGGGCACCCAGCTTGTCCCCAGTGCTGTGGATGCTGTACCCATTAACTTTATTTATTTCAACATTCTTTTTTTTTTTCCCCATGGTAGTGCGGTCTTGGTGTGTTGTCCATGATGGCCTCAAACTTGTGATCCTCCTGCCTCGACCTCTAAGCAGGTGACTTTATAGGTGTGCAACTCCTATAAAGAAATGTTTTCACATTGATAGAAAAGTCACATGATTAAAGGATTATATTTTTTTCTGAGTCATCTGAGAGAAAGTTGCCCAATGGAGTCCTGTCGCCTGTGGACACTTCAGTGTGCATTTCCTGTAAACAAAGACATTCAGCCCGCCCACCTCAGCCAGGAAGTCAGCCCAGACCCATCCTCTCTTCCAGTCATCAGACTCCATTGTATTTAACACACTGTCTCAGTCTCGCCCTTTGCAGCAGGAAGGTGTGTGTGCTTCTGTGTCAGTGTCACGCCTTGAGTCTCAGCCTGGATTCTCTAGTCTGTCCTGTGGTTCCTCAGCCTTTCCTCGGCTCTCTGACCTTGATACCCTGGAAATGTCAGGTCGGCCCTGTCGTAAGATGCCCTTCAGTTTGGGTGTGCCTGATGTCTCTGTGGTGACTGGCGCGACAGGGGTTCTGGCTGTGTGTCTTTGGCAGGAATGGTGCAGTGGCCATGCTGTGCTCTTCTCATGGCATCCTGTCCCATGGTACGCAATTTCCATTTGTTCCTTTGCTAGCCAGGCTGACTTTTCGAGTTTGGGAAGGTGGTGTCTGCCACTCTTCTTGACTGGTGGTTGCTCTTTTTTTCTTTTATTAAATAGATGTTTTGCGTCTGTGTAAATATCCTGATCTCCTACTGGTTTTAGATTCTTTTTTGTTTCTTAGTTGAATTATTTATTACCACCATGGCGGCCAATGGTGATTTTTCTAATCCATTGTTCTTTCTACACATTATCATTTTATTGTAATGAACAGTCTTCTCCTGTATTCATTCTTGTTAGTGTGGATTTATGAATTCATATTTTATTCAGTGGGTTCTAATCCATTACTGTCATCCTTTATCTTGATGTTCATATTGTCCCAGGTTTGATTGGCTGGTGGGAGCCTCTCCTCTTTTGTTTTTTTGATACTGGGAATTTGAGCCAGGGGTGCTCTATCACTGAGCTACATCCCCCAGTCCTTTTTTTTATTTTTTATTTTGAGGCAGGGTCTAGCTAAGTTGCCGAGCCTACCCTTGAACTTGCCATCCTCCTGCCTCAGCCTCCCGAATCACTGGGATTACAGGTGGGTGCCACTGCGACTAGTTGTGGGGACCTATTCAAATGGGCCACTATTTTCTTTTGACAGCATTGCAATACTATTTGAGCAGTTCTTTTCTTGAAACTTCTTTTTGTAAGTTTTATTGAAGTATCATTGACAAATTAGAGTGATATGTTTAAAGGTCTACTCCCAGTGCTACTCAGTTGACCTCTGTACTTGGTACTCTTTAGGCTTGGGTTTGTGAGTTTCTCTTCTTTGAAGCAAGAGCAGGTGCAGCAAGGCATTCTTGTAGTGTTTTGGAAACAATGGCCAGCAGCCCTGAGGAGTCACGGGTTGATCAAGGGTGAATCAGGTGGCTGAGGAGTCTTTCATAACAGCTTCTGGGTGTTTGAAGCACAGCTTTGAGCTTCTAGGTAAGTATACTAGTCAGATTCATGTCACTGTAATAAAGCACCTGAAGTGACTAACTTGTAAAGATAAAAGGCTCAGAGGTCTAGAAGTTCTAGTCAAAGACAGAGTGGAGGCATTGCATTGGGCCTCACTGGAGTAGGTATGTTGGTGGGCCGTGGCAGGGAGTGTGTGGAGGAACAAACTGCTCACCTCCTGGCCAGGAAGCCAAAGAGAGAAAGAAGTGGTTGGGGGTGCCACAATTCCCCTCTCGGGCACACCCACAATAACCTGAGGACCCCAGACCAGGCACCACTCTCAAAGGTTCCACCACCTCTAAGTAGCACCACCGTGGGGACCAAGCCTCTCACACACTGGGCTTTTGGGGTACACGGCAGATGTGTGCTGTAGCAGGCAGCGAGAGGCAGGCATTCCCCGCTCCTCCTGCAGGTGGTGCTGTGTGACTGTGGCCTGAACCAGAGCCTGGCCAGGGCTTCACCTTTGTGTGGTTCAAAATAAATAAATAAATAAATAAATAAATAAATAACACACACACACACACACACACAACTGGTCACATACGTTGTATAATATAAGGCTGTCTTCTTGAGATCCTTCTCCTAAAGTCAGATGTCCACCATCATTTCCAGGAAAAGGAACAGTCAGACTATGAAAAGCTGATACAGGTCTTACAGCAGGAGCAGGACATCTATGCCCAGCTGGTGAGGTCTCTGCAGGACCCAGACAGGTAAGGCCTTCTATTTGGACATCACACGCCTGTGAGTGTGGGTGAGCATGCACACAGTTTTTGGAAAAGCTGATGGACCCTGAGCCAGAGAAGCCGTCCCAACATGTGCTTAAGAAGTGTACACAGTTGTTAGGTAGTGATTGTCTCCTTACAATACCTGTTATACCTGTTTTCTATCAAGAATTGTCTGATCTTTGGCAACTAAATTAGATTAAAAATATAGTGTTTACTCATATTTCTAAATACTTTATCACATATTTAGAAAGCACTTCCCTGTGTATTATCTCACACGATCTTCACAGCTATCCTGTGAGGTAAGTGAAAATGTTCTCCCTATTTCACATGAATCCACTGACGCTAAGAGAGGTTAAGTGGCTTGTCCAAAGTCACACAGGTGTTGTGAGAACTCCGGGACACCAACATGTCTCTGTATCTTAGAGTGACTTGTGTCTGCAGGATGGCTGAAATGATTTGGTGCCAGTGAGGTGTGGGGAAGAGAGCCAGTTGTGGGCCAGGGGTCTTGGTATAGTCCTGGCTCCCCTGCCCTCTGGTTCGGTGTCCCCAGGCAATTGGCCTGCTCTGGGCCTCTGTTTGCAGGACTGGCCTCAGGGATTTCTTGCATTAAAACCTAGCTCTCTCCCCATGGGAGTGGTTCAGTTGAACGGATGTGACGTCTGGGACTTGTTTCAGAACAGTACAGAAGCAGAGGAAGTAGGTGGGGATGTCAATGGGCGGAACACGGTCAGCCCTGGCTCCCTGCTTGTTGGGATACCGAGTGGGCAGATGAGGAGGAGCTCATCCCATTACTTTGTCTTTTTGTATGTGTCCAAGGTTTTCCATAAGAAGAAGCTAAGAACCGTCACCTCTCTTTCTCTCTCATGATGCCCTTTGCTTTCACTGTGTTGCTGGGCCGTCTCTTCCTGCCTCTGCTGTCCTCTGTCCTCTGTGCTCCTGGCCCCACCTTCCTGCTGTGTCTCCCACTCCTTCTTCAGGAGTAGCTTGAGTGTCAGCCTCGTTGGGTGCCTGGCTGACCCCCAGTTCTGCTGCCCCTCTGCATCTTCTCTCTTGACTGCCTGCCTGATGCGTGGGCGTCTCTGCCGCTCCACCTGCTCTCCTGGTCTGGGAGCTTCCTCAGGACCAGGGGTTCCTCTGCCATCTGCAGCTCCCAGAGCCTGGGAAATGCTCTCTGCAGGAATGTCTGGCCCTAGCACGGATCGTCCAAGTTAGTAGATAATTTCCAGATTTTAAGATCTGAAATGAGTTTGAAAAAACCAAACACATACTGATGAAATTTGGGGCGTAGGCATCTCTGAAAGTGGGCTTTTTCAGGAAACCTCAGCAGCTGGTCTCTTTCACCAGAGGAGGGGTTCAATCATGTGGGGAAACTGCACAAATTTCACTTTAATTGCGCAGCTTCTCTGGGCGGGAGAGGTGCTGTGGGTAGATGTGCTTGCTCTCAAGCCCTCTCCACAGGAATGGCTCCGAGTTTCACAGCCTCTTTCCTAATGAATAAAAACGTGGATGGGACTGCAGTGGGTCAGGGCAGTGGATAACCCATGCTCAAAAGGTTTCTGCACATCTTCAGACTTTGTTTAGGGGTAGCCAGACCTGGTCCACATCTAGCCCTGCCACTCAGCTGCTCTGGGCTCTTGGGAGAGTGTTGTGGAGTGGGGGTGTGGCCTGCTTACCTACCTGCACAGCAGCTCACCCATCTGCTTACCTGCCAAGTGCCTGCTTGCCTTCTACTTCCCACCCACCCACCTACCCACCCTCTTCCTACCCTCCTCCTGCCCACCTACCTTACAAGGTAGTTTGGATACAAGGGATGATAGTGTGTAAATTCCTCATGCTGCCTGACACATAGTAGGTGTTCAGTAAACGTCAACACTTGTTGAGAATAAACACATGGGAAGCTTCCACGTGCCTCAGTACCCCCCATATGCATCAGCTTAGCATCCAGGCCATTTTGGGATCCTCAGCCCTGGGCATATCCAGGAGGAGCCCCCACGTCTAACTCCAGCACTGCTCTCTCTCTGGGAACTGGCAGTGGGGTGGTGGCTGCAGGCCAGGGTGTACTTGGGGTTTGCACAGACAGGGAGGAGGAGGAGGCTTGTTGGTTCTTTCACCTTTGCTTTCTATTTTTCAGTGCTCAGATGTGGGCGCTTTAGCTCATGTGACAGAAGTGCTCCTTAAGGCCTGCGGTGAAGGGTGATCAGAGCCTGACCCCCTTGGCTTTGTAGCCCAGGCCTCGCAGCCACCCCTGCATCTTGAGGGCTAGTTCAGCGACACTTCCTATAACCAAGGGCTCTCAACCTCAGCAGTACTGGGACTTGGGGCTGGATGGCTTTTTTGTCATGAGGGGCTGCCCTGTGCATTTTAGGGTGTTCAGCAGTATCCCCGGCTCTGTCCCCGGAGCACACTCACTCCCTCAACCTCTTGTGGTATCAAACATGCCACCAGGTATTGCAAAATGTCTCCCAGGGGGAGCAAAATCATTTCCAGATGAGAATCCCTCTTGTAACTCATGAGAATCAGAAATTTTGGCTCATAAATATCATCTTTTTTGTGGGAATTGTTGGGGTATGCAGGAGGAAGGAAATGGTGTTTGCCGAGTATCTAGAATGTATTAGGCACCATGCCAAGCTCTTTCCCATGTAATAGGACTATCATTTAGTCCTCAAAACAGTTCAAAGGAAAGGTATCATCCCCATTTTACAGATGAGGTGTTTGACTGACATGGCCACGGAGGCAAGGTTAAGGTTAGTGGTGGCCTGCTGTTTTGAGCTGGGCTCTCTGACTCCTCCTGCCCACCACCCCTTCTCCGGCCCCCTGCCCCAATCCGGGAGGAAGGTTGCACAGGCTTTTGTTTCTTTCTGAGCAAAGCACTTTTTACTTCTCACCTTGAGAAACTTCTGGAGCTGGGAAATGACGGGCTCCTGTGTGCACACGGCAGCTGTGTGCTTTTCACCGTGTCAGAGGTGGAAGGGGACCGTGGCAGTTAGCTTTCCCTGGCCCCGATGGCAGGAGCTTTGCTAAAACAGTCTCCCCTTTTCCTCTGGTCAAATGCCTCAGCAGCACAGCCACATCCAAGTGAGTGCTGTGCTCCTCTGGAAGGACTCCCATCAGCTGTACAAATTGATCATCGGGACCGCCAGTCGGGCCCTTGGCCATTCGTGAAGGGTGCCTTGCAGTGAACCGTCTTCAAAGCAGCAAGCATAGAAGATTGGACGGAATGGTTTACTTTCTTTCCAATATGTCTTGATTTGTGTGCCGTTCGAGGGATGGAGCTGGAGAACAGTCTCTGAAGGACCAGTGGGGTGTGAGTGTGGCACACGGATTCAGAACACTGGGGAGAATCAGATGGAAGCTTACTGGCCCTCTCCCTAGAGCAGTCTGGTAGTCATCAGTTTTGAAGCTTAGTTTCAAGGTGCCGATGGACCCTCTTAGGGAACTGTAGGATGGACGCTGGATGGGGAATGATAATATTTCTCAAGTGATTTTATAAAGGAGGCTTTCAGATTTGTTAAGGTGTTTTAGGAACCTTAAAAGTGCTTGTGTGCTTTGACCTGCTGGTAGCACTGCTTGGAATCCTTCTTAAGAAAGCAGCCCAGGGGCCAGGCCACACCTAGGTTCAGGCTGTGCAGTTGTGAGCTGGGTTTGAGTATTCAGACCTGTGCCAGTTCTCATCTGTTGAAGTCCAAGGCCTGGTGTGTGGATCTGCACTGTCCACTGGAATACCCAAGAGTGGTTAGGTCATTTAAATTTAAACTTATTTTAAATGTAATGAAATTACAAACATTCACTTCCTTGGTGCATTAAGCCACATTTCAGATGTTCAATAGGTGCATTCTAGTGGCTACTGTATTAGACCCTGCAGATACAGACTGTTTCTGTCTTCAGGGGAAGTTCTGTTAGCCAGGGCTCTCCAAGATGAGTGCACACTCTGTGAGGTGTGCGTCTGTGTGGCTTCCCCCAGGTTCTGAGCTTCTCATTCGCACATATTGTCTACACAGCTCAGCAGCGCATTATGCTGATCTGGGTGTGAAACCTGACCCTCCCTCTTCCAGAATAAAAATCCATGCACCCTGTGCAGCGTTGAGTGATTCTGTTGGCCCCTGGATTGGTCATTTTCTCTTACTGTCAACTCCCTCTGCTTTTTCTTCTCTCCTGCCCCTCCCCTTTCCCCCCAGGATGACCTCTTTGATGGGAACACAAAAGAATTCCTTTCTCTCTGAAGCCTGGGTGTAAGTGACTCTCAGACCTGGAGAGTCTCCCCTCCATCCAACCTTCTCAAGGGGTTATTCCAAACAGAGGAACATGCTAGAAAAGCAGGTTATTTCCACCTGGTTACATCTATAGCAAAACTTGGAAATGATCCAAGTGTTCTCTAATAGGGAATGAGTTAGACTAAATGGAGGGACATTCACCTGACATAATTTATACAGTCATTAAAAATGATGTTGCAAATAATTTCCACAAATGTGGGGAAATATTTAAGCAAGGAATGCACAATTCAGCATTTATTATATTAATGTTGAAATTTTCATAGAAAAAAGATTGAGGGGAAATATGGTCTGCAGTGTTTTAATTGGTAGTGGGGATCATGATAATTTTTGTTCTCTTTATACTTTTATATTTTAAATTTTCTGTGAACATTTATTTCTGTAAACATATATTTAACTTTTACAACAAGAGAAAACACAAGTAGCATAAAAATCACAGAAGGGCTTGCTGGTCTTTGCTTGTTAAAGCACTACTAGGACTATTTTAAAATTTCTGATGTCTTGTTATGTCAAGTATGGACACCGTGCAGGCAGAGTTGAACAACATTTTTGCCCTGCGGAAGCAACTGGAACGGGATGTGCTTACGTATCGGAATTTGCAAAAGAGCCTTGCGGAGCAGATCAGCGAAATTCGGAGGCGGGAAGGTACACACTCTCTTCTTTGTACTTCCCGTTGTTTTGTCCACCTGGAGAGCCTTGGGTGAACTTAAGAGAGCCCTAGATCTTCATGAGGAGGTGGAGCAGCCGCCTGCGGCTGGAGGTCATTTATGGGGTGATAGTGTTGATGTTGGCTTGCCCAGTCTTCTCTGTCTAGCTTCGGCCTTCCTAGCAGAAGAGCCCAGTAAACTGTATTAACACTGCAGAAGATCCATTGCAGGGTGGTGTCCCTACTGCTTCTGCTATTTTCTGCATCATTTGATACTCCCAATTCTAGGTAACCTCGGGGACTTGCAAACCCCTCCCTCTCTCCCTGCCTACCCCCTCATTGACTGGCTCAGTTTCCCATGGAACCCCTGCAGAGGGTCCGGAACGGCAGACACGAAACATGCTTAGCATTGCAGGGTGGCTTCATTCAGGGAGGGCTACAGGAAGAGACCCCTTGTGGCCCTGCTGAGTTCTCATCATGTGTATCTGGCCTTGTCCTGTGCTAGACTGAAGCTCTGAAGTCTGGGTGGTGCTTATTGCTTTCTGTAGCTCTAGCTCAGTGCCTGGCACACATGGTAGGAACTGGTTATGGCCGTGGTGGGTTGACATTTCTTGGACTCCTGCTGTGTACAGGGCATAGGCTTTTACTATGCTCCGCCCTTCTCACCCGATTCTCACAGTCACCCCATTAGGCACAAGTGAGGAAGCTGAGCTGGGGGTGGGTTGGGTGGATTTGCCTGGATGTGAGCCAGGGTGTCCTGAGGTCTGGCTCTTCCTGTCATTGCCACTGTCATGGTGCTCCAGCACTTAGCCATGTGTATTTTCAGATGAGCTACTGTTTGTACTTGTGGCTTTCTCAGGAAATGTCTTCCCTCTCCTCTGCTTCTGCCCCTTCTGTTAGAATGTGTCCTTTACTGCAGAGGAAGCCAATGACACATTCTAACCGAGGTGACCGAGGCGCTGTTGTCTTGGCTCCAGCAGGCCGCTTCTGCACTTGGTGTACTCGCTTCCACAAGGGCTCTGGGGCCAGTAAAAATACATCAGGCACTTTTATTTCCCTTGAGTTCTACCCTTGGGGTCACATCTCATTTTCCCATATTCTCACCTAAACAGAATCACGCTCATTTAAACTGGAATCACCATTTGCTTATGCCATTCAGAATGGTCTCCAGACCCAGCACTTGATATGCAGATTATAATTCAGAATTGGCCAACTAAAGCCTACAGCCCCAGATGAAACCATGCACTGAGATGGCAGCCTGTGGAGCAAGGGAAGGTTACTTTTGCTCCAGAGGTGGTGTTGGAAACTCCCACGTGCTTCTGTGCCCTCACCCACCCTCCACAGAGTGCTTTAGGTGGATGGAGCTGGGATTGGTCCCCGAAAATCTGTTCTGATGTTCTTCCTTTCACCCCCCCACTTTGTTTTTGGACAGAAGAACCATTTTCATTTTATAGTGATCAAACGTCTTATCTAAGTATTTGCCTTGAAGAAAACAGTCAGTTTCAAGTGGAGCATTTTTCTCAAGAAGAACTTAAGAAAAAGGTATTGACTTAATAACTTTCTTTCTTTCCTTTTTTCAATTTGTTGTCTCTGGGTTCCTGATCACAGAGGTGTGATTCTGAAAGTCCCTTTACTCCTGTCATCCAGGGACAGCTCTTAGCCCCTCCACACAGAGTGAACTTCCTTCCCCTTGGGCGAAGGTGTACCCAGTTCAAATTGCTGTCCTCCCATTCGTGAGGGGCTGTAATTATTTGTCCCTAGGCTATGAGCATCTCAACCTTAGTGATCATGTCTTATTTATTTCTAATGTCCCAGGGCCTGCACACAATAGTAGGAGCTAATAGATGGTTTTTGAATGAATATGGTTCCAGTTTGATCAATGCGGGAAAGGATTTTCAGTTTGTCGATAGGTGGTATGATGAGAGTGGTTTCAGGGTTCTAAGAATCCTGGTTAAGAATAAGCCATGTGAACACAGAGGAGATTGTTGTACATTGTGAAATTATCACATACATGGGACAGAGATTCAGTTTCTTTCATGTAATAATTCACATTCTGACCAAGAGGACAGAAATGGGAACAAATAATTGCAGGACGGAGTGCAGAGGTTGCTGTGTGAGGCAGCTGCTCGAGGTGCAGAGACAGCAGAGGAGAGTTCATTGCTGCTTGCCTGATCGAGGGAAGCTTCCCAACAGAAGTGACATTCCAAGTGGGTTTTGAAGGATAAATAGGAGTGTATCCAGGTGGACGGTTTTCTCAATGGAGAGAAAGCAGAACATGTAAGGCAGCGATGTAAGTAATAGCAAGGAGAACCATAAGACGTTGTGTATTTTGGGGGCTGGGGTTGTAGCTCAGTGGTAGAGCACTTACCTAGCATTTGTGAGGCCCTGGGTTTGATCCTCAGCACCGCATAAAAGGTAAAATAAATAAAAGAAAGGTATTGTGTCCATAAAACAACAACAACAAAGAATTTGGGTATTTCTGGAGGAGCGGGGCAAGGAGTCTAGAGTCAGCTCTTTTTTTTTTAATTGTTTTTTTAGTTGTAGATGGACACAATATTTGTATTTTATTTATTTATTTTTACGTGGTACTGAGGATCGAACCCAGTGCCTCATGCGTGTGAGGCGAGCGCTCTACCACTGAGCCCCAGCCCCAGCCCTCAGCTGTGTTTTTTGAAGATGAGGAAAGTGGAGATGGTGGTAGCTGCTGTGCTGTGGCCAGGGCAGCACGTAGTCGCGTGAGTCATGTAGAATGTCGCGCTCTTCCCACCATATCCTCCCTGAGGATAAAATTTATTCGTGTTCAAAATACATCAAATATACCCACCATGTGTAGTGAGGGTGGGGTTTTCCACTTTATTTGAAGGCCCAGTGACCACTCCCATTAAGAAGAGTTTGAAAAGTCACAGGGAATTGAAGCTGGTGGGGAACGAAGGTGGTGGCTGCTCAGTTGCCCCTGCAGCTGACCTGTACTGCGGGAGGAGCCCTGGACCTGGAACCTGAGGGGGTCTTCCTTCTGTCCTGGTTCCCTCTGGGGACAGTTGTTCCTTCCTACCTGAGCTGGCACTGTGGCTGTTCCTTTTCATGCGGTTCCCTATATGCTGCCACACTGGGACCCTGGGAAGTTAGTGTCTTTGCATCTCTGGTTCCTAGCTGTAAGGTGGGGATTCTTATGCCATCCTGTCCTCTGCCTCAGGATCCTTGAGGGACCGATTGACTAACTTGCAGAAGTATGTTAGCAGCCATAAACATTCTTTGTAATGGACGGCTGTCATTACTGACACTGCTAGGTGAAAGGAAGGTCTGTGCTGTAAAATAAGGCCCTGGCACAGTTGTAGAAACTTCACCACTGGGGTGTTTTTCCTCCAGAGGCCTCCAATGCAAGGCAGAGATAGCGTTGGCTGTCATTGACTGAGCCGGTGTCAGGGACATGGTCATGGTGAGTTCTCACAGTAACCCATCCGACAGATGAGAAACTGAAGCTTAGATTAGGCAGCTTGCTGAGGATCACTTTGCCTTAAAGCCGTGGCTCCACCTCCCTGCTCTTATCTCTCAGGTCAGCGAACTTATACAGCTGGTGAAGGAACTCTACACAGACAACCAGCGTCTGAAGAAAACCTTTTTTGATCTCTCCTGTGAGGGTTTCCAGGGAAATGGCAGACCTGAGTCAACAGAACAAAGAGAGGTAAGGAGCAGCATTCTCATTGTCATGTGCTAATTGCTGAAATTTACTAACCCCAAACATTTCTCAAGACTGCCTCTGTTCTGGGGAGGTCTGTAACTGAAACTTTCTTTCTTCTGTGGGCGGGTGTTGAGGACCTTGTTAGGTCAGCAGGTGTGTCCACAGGCATCCTACAGTTCAGTTCCTGTCTCCATGGATCGCTATTGGGATGCTTTCGACAATTGTCCCACTCTGGGATCTGTGCTGCAGATGGCACAGCTGGATGAGTGTTGTGGTCTCAGAGGGATCTAGAGAGTTTCCAAATCACCCAGATAATTTGGGTAGTGTAGATACAGCCTTAGTGAATCCATTCACATTCAAATACATGTGCAATTATATACTTGCCCTGAAAATTCACCTGGATGACTTCTGGGTCTCAGTGCTGATCTTTGTGCTGTGTTGTCTCTGGTTTTCTCTGCTCCTAACCTGCGCTGTATAGTGGGAGGACCCTGAAGTCGTGCTGGCAGGGAGGAGGATGTGATTTTCTTCCTCCAGTCCCTGGCTTGCCCCGCTCTCCCCAGGAGGGTTGCTCCATGCACAGAAGACTGGGACTGTTGCCATCAGGTACAGAAGGACCTTTTTGTACTTGGGTCCCTCGTGAGCAAAACCACAATCTTCTCAGTTGGGGTTGTCTGGAACTCAGCCTGGAGCATCAGGAAAGTGCAGGTCCCACATTCATAGTCAACGTCATTTTTTGGGAAAGATTTGTCAGCCTTAAGTTGTCTCCTTCCGCCTTCAAAGTGGGAGCTGCTCACAGGTATTTATGCTGCGCTCTGGCCATCTGCTTTCTTTGAGACAGGGAATATTATTGATCTTGGCCTCCAGGGCTCAGATAATTTTGAAAACCGAGAGTAACTGCAATCCATTTAGGGAAAACAAGTCTCCTGGTTCACTTCCTCCAAGGCAGCATGCTTAATAAGCAGCTCTTTCTTCACCGACTCCATTTGAGTCGTAAATGGCGAGTTTTGTTTGTTCATTTGTCCTTTGAAAAAAATCTGTTAAATGTCCCATTATGTCCTTTGGAGAACAGAGGCTTTTTCCTCTGCCCACTCTAAGATCTTAATACCAGCCGATTCAGATTTGAGTCATTTGTCAGGTTGCACTTCAATTTGATGTTCTCAGTGAATAGCCCTGTCCTTTATAGCACAGCTGCCATCTCCCCCGGGCAGGGGATAGGAGATGGCCATGGGGAAGATGGTGTGCCTATTATAATCTGGAGCTGAGGGAGCAGAGGAGGCGGGGAGGGGGACAGCAAGGGGAGCCTGCTGTTCTTCTGGAGGCTGTGTGGGACTCCTTCAGCGAGGAGCAAGGCAGACATGCATACAAGTTCCACAGTGTTTTCTGAGCAGCAGGACTTGTGGGGTGGGGGCTGGGCACGATCCTGCTCCTTAGGAGCCTGTAAATCAAAAAAGGAGAGGAGGGAAGAAGCAAATATATTTTTTTTCTTTTTTTTAAAAAATTTTTATTGTTGGTTGTTCAAAACATTACATAGTTCTTGATATATCATATTTCACACTTTGATTCAAGTGGGTTATGAACTCCCATTTTTACCCCGTATACAGATTGCAGAATCACATCAGTTACACATCCATTGATTTACATATTGCCATACTAGTGTCTGTTGTATTCTGCTGCCTTTCCTATCCTCTACTATCGCAAATATATTTTGTGTCTTTAAACTTCAGAAAATAGAGAAAAGAAATGACCCCTAATCCTGACACTCTGAGAGGCCTAATTAATTACCATTTTGGAATTGTTCCTTCCATATTTGTGTACACGCACGCAATTAGACTCTAATACGGTTTTGTATCTTGTTTCTTCCAGTTGCCATCAAGTCATAGCTCTTCTCCCATCTTATGAATGCATTGAAATATAACTGCCTCACTCTCGTTGGACATGTAGATTGTTTCGAGTGATTAACTGTTTTAAATTACATATTGATTGTCTTTGTACACAGATCATCTTCTGTGTTTAGGAGTTTTTTCCTTGGACTGTATTCCTAGATATGTAATTTCAGGGTCAAAGGACAGCTATAGCTATACAGTGAGCATTCAAATTATTTTCATATACCCTCTTCCAACAATTGTTAATTTGAAGAAGGGTAAAAGTGGTTGGATGCCTGACAGTTGGTTGAGTTCCTCTCCTGACTCCCCGTTTGGAAGCACACCAGCTGGGAGGGGCACGCCTTCCCTGCATGCATGGGGTTCACGCAGAAGCCACCAGACAGAGACCAAGAGTGGGCCTGGCCTGTTCATGTGTTCACTCTCTACTGAGCTGGCCCCCCTTTTCTTATATCTATTCACTGATCCTTAATTGATATAGCATCAGGAGAATTTGCTGGACAATTGCTGTACAGGAGCAGTTTCAGCAGGTTCAGCCAGGGTGGTGAGCGTCCAACAAACCATGAAGCATGCAGCGCCTGGGACAGCCATCTCTAGGTGGCAGGATGGTGTAAGGCACAGGTACCAGAACATCACAAGTGATCAGAAAAGCTGGTCACTCCCGTTACTTACTTGTGTGGCTATACTGTCATTCTTAGGTGTGGTTAGAGTGCTGAAGTATTTTTGTTTTGTTTTTGTTTTTTTGCATGGAGAGAAAACATGGATAAAGGAGCAGAATTTAATTGAGCTCAGGTATTTCTAGGATTGTCATGTTGAACAGAAAATAGACCTCCTGTGACTTTAGAGAGCAGAGATAGTGCTCAGAAGTAGAAGATGGTTGTTAAATAGTCCCTTACCAATAATGGGGTACATTTTGGTTGGTTGAAGTGGATTTAATTTTATTAAAAGAAGGAACTTTCCAACAATTCACCTGTGTAAGATATTATGAATTTTAAATGCTTTATAAAGCCCTTGGCACTGCCTGGCACATAGTAGACACTCAATAAAACACAGCTATTTTTATTTTACTGTTTTAGTAAGTTAGTGTCAGAGTAGGAATTAGTAGCCATCTCTGGCTCTGTTTGGAGTTGTCTTTAAGTTTAGCAGTCATGTGAATTTCCTGGGGATCTTGTTAAGATGCAGATTCTGGTCCTGTAAGCCTGGCATGGGGCCTGGGAGTCTGCATTTCTGACAAGCTTCTGGATGGTGACGCACTGTTGCTAAGGAGCACACTGAGTAGCAAGAGCAGACATACTTCTGAAAACCGCTTGGTTCTGGTTCCGTCTCGCTCGGGTCTTTATTCATTCTTTTGTCCTTGCAATAGTGTTTTTTGGAGCACCAGGCATTGGTGTTGAAACCGTGAACACAAACATGACCCCTGCTGTGCCTAGCATGACAGCGACGAGCAGAGGGGCAGTTGGAGCAGTGTGGCCAGAGCTGTGCTGGGGTGAACGCCGAACCAGGGGAGCATGTGGCTGGTGCCTGCAGGGAGCAGGAGGCCGAGGAGGGGCAGCTGCAAAGCCACCAGGAAGAAAGAGCGCAGGGGGCAGGACCAGGAGAGCAGAGTTCCCGATGGTGTTACTTAAGGAGTGAGCGGCCAGGCAACAGCGGGCTTCCAGGGAGTCACATGACCTGTGCCCTTTGTCAGGGTGACAGGGACAGCCAGCTTCAGTGTATGGAGACTGTCCAGGGAGCCCTGGGAGGCGTGGCGGCCCCTTCTCCAGCTGGTGGCTGGGCTGGAGGCAGAGCCCCGCTGCAGTGACGTGGTTCTTTCTGACATCTTCTGTGTCTTCGGAAACTACTAAGTCATACGTGGCATTTGGGCCATTTATCTTTGTCCCCAACGTTTAGTTTTCTGATCATTGTTGAAAAATGAGTGTTTATTTTTAATTTCCATCAAGTCAAGCAGAGGTGAAGAGAAGTGAAAGTTAGCGTTTATCTCGGCGCCTCGAGTAATGGCGGGTTGTGGTTCTGAAATGCAGAAGGGCTTCAGAGCTGTTGCTGTCTCACCTTGGAATGGTGAGTGTTAAGTTCCTTTGCTCAGCTAGATTTAGGGGAACTCTTCTCCTGGCCACAGGCGGCAGGGAGGGCCATCTCCTCCCTTGTCCCTCACCCCATGTGGATTTTACCTCCTAATCCAGAAGGTCTTTGAGGAACTTTCATGGGCAATTTCTGAAGGCAGAAAAGCCACATTCAGGAGGTAAGAAGAACACTTTCTAGAAGCTTGGAGAACAACAGAGAGGACTTTTGTTAGTTGTTTTTATTTTATTGTTTTAAAAAGATGAGAGAGGCTAGCCAGGAGTGGTGGTCCACACCAGTAATCCCAGCGGCTTGGGAGGCTGAGGCAGGAGGATCGCCTGTTCAAAATAGCTGTAGCAACTTAGCGAGGCCCTAAGCAACTCAGTGAGACCCTGTCTCTAAATAAAACATAGAAAAGGGCTGGGATGTGGCTCAGTGGTTGAGTGCCCCTGGGTTCAATCTCTAGTACCAAAAAAAAAAAAAAAAAAAAAAAAGATAAGAGGCTACTTCCTACTTCCCAACATTTTATTTAAAAAAAACTCAGATACAGCAAAATGAAAAGAATATTATAGTGAACACCTGAGGTTCCCTCTCCTATTATATTATCGTTTCCCACTCATCCACCATCATCCATCTTATCTCTTTTTAAAATTAAATGTATTTTAATTGACACATAAAAATAAAAATTATAGATGTTACTAACATGTGATGTTTTGGTACGTGTATATATAACATAATATTTAAGCCAAGTTGTACGTATCTATTTCCTCAAACATTTAATATTTCTTCATAATGAAAACTTTCATGATCCTTGCTTCTAGTTTTATGTTGTTCATTACTGCTATGTCCAGTCAGCCTCTTGCTCCTGTAGAATTGTACCTCAGTACCTACCCACAAATCTCCTCCTTTCCTCTTCCCCTCTGCTCTCCAAGACTCTGCTAATCACTTTCTACTCTTAATTTCTATGAAATCAACTTTTTAAGATTCTGCATGAGTGAGAGATCATGGAGCACCTGATTTGCTACCTGAATGCCGTTAACGTTTCCCACTTGTCCATTATCACTCCATTTTCTTTTTGATAAGTTTTTTTTTTTTTAATTGCAAACATAAGTCTAAATACTTCAGCATGCATATATTTAAACTCTAGTTTTAGCTTTATGTTTATAGTTTATTTTTCTTTTAAGGTCTTATTTGCAAACAGTGATATACAGACTGCATTTGCTCTGTTTTATAAATGTGTGTACCTGTGACCCAAACCCCATAAAGATCCCTTGTTTCCCTTCTTGTCAGTCCCACCTCCACCCAACCCCAGCTGCTGCTCTTATTTTGTCCCGGGTTAATTTTATCTTGCTGTGGATTAATTTTGTCTATACTAGACCTTTGTATAAATGGAATCACACATCTTTTGTGTCCGCTTTTCTTCTGGTCAGCATGTTTTGGAGGTGATCTGTGTTCTTACATAAGTCACCGGTTCTTTTTTGTGGCTAAGTGGTATTCCATCATATGAATACGTGACACATTTGTGTATTTATCTGCTCTGAATAGACATTGGGTAAAGGTATTGTGAACACGTACAAGTCTTTGGGTGGACATGCTCCCCCCCACACCCGATTAAACCTGGAAGTAGAATTCCTGGGTTATAGTTTTATAAGGAATTGCCAGTACTTTTTCTGAAGTGGGTTAACATTTTAATGCTCTTGCCAACAAGTTTGATAGTCCTAGTTGGTCTGTATCACTTAGAATGTTTTCATAACAAGGAAAGAAGCCAGTAGAGAGAGTGTTCCTCACTCCCTGTATCTGTGAACTTTTATGCCTTAACAAGAACCTGGGCTCTGTATAATGCTTCACAGGATAAACAGATGATTGTGTACTTGGATGTGAGTATGTTGGATGTATTTTGAACCTGAAAGGTTTCTATAAAGTGACTTTCTAAAGTCAGTTTGCTTTGTTTTGTTTTTCTTCTTCCAAAACAAGGTTTTTCCTCAAAAAGGGAAGGTTGAAAGAATTGAAGTTGGACTGGGAGAGTTATGGGTGTAATGGGCTGAGTGTAGAACGCATAAAATAAAATTGTGGAGATAGAACCGTAAGTAGCTCATATAGTGTGCCACAAGTGAACCAGTCCTCTCTAGTTTTAACACCTTCAGTGCAGAGCCAGCTACTTCGTCCATGAGAGGAGGGTTTGAAGCAGCTTTGATTGACTGGGCTCCTTCCTGGAGTGGCTTCCTCTTCTTTTACTTTGATCTGGTTAATCCTACTGTTCCATAGCTGGGATTTTTGCTCTCCTGGAGAGCTGAGGTCTGACTTTCTGGAGAACTTTGTCCTGTCCTTTCCAGAAGATGGCAACGCAGAAGCTTTGGGTTTTGTACTTCTTTAAAGCATTTGAGGTTTATGCAGTCTTTATAAATATCTGTCCTTCATTTCCACAAGCATAAAGTTATCATCAGGCAAGCTTGGTACTCTCCTCATTAGTGATGAGGACTTTTTGTCAGCAAACTGACAGTATTGCTGGGACTGTCCATCTCAGATGTGTGACAGTCTAACAACAGCTTTATGACCTGTGCTAAATAGGAGACATGATGCATAAATTGGGTACAGCACTTATTGCTTTTTTGCTATTTGATATGTTCAATTCCATCAGTAGCCATTTTCCAAAATCTTGTTACTTTTATATAATCCAAAAGTGGATTTAGCAAAGGCAGAAATGGCAGCAGCACAACAGACAGCATATTCAATTTACAGCAGTGCAGACAGACCGTGCGAGGGCAGAGAAAGCTGACAGTGATTTCTTGGGGAATTTGTCCTTAAATTATGCTGATTCTAGGCAGCTGCATGTGATTGACAGAACCAGCACCTCTAACTTTGGCTAATTTTTATTTCATGGCTTTGGCATTTGTTTCTGCCTTTTTTTGTTTGTTTTTTGCTCTGCATTTTAAAAAACAGACGTCACCGGGCTGTTTGTGCACATTCATGCTGCACACTTTTTTTGGGTTGCATTTTAAAACCATCCCATGCTTCATGCCATGTAGCTTCTAGCTAGCAAGGAGGACGAGGACACGATCAAAATTGGAGAGGATGACGAGAATAATTTCCAGAATGACCAGCATTTGGAGCAGAGTAATGAGGTAGGAACATGGCAGTTAACTCCTTCTGCCATCTGCCCCACTCTTGTGCACAAGCCAGGCTTCGGTCTGGAGGGAGTCCAGTGGGTTTTCTGTTCATCCCCCCCATGTTGAGTGCCTACTGTGCCAGTGGGGAGCAGCTCTCTCTATTTGAAGTTACAACCTGGGTGATAGAGTCCTTTGGGAAGCACCTGGGCTGTTATATAGTTGCAGATAAAAATGAGAGTTTTGGAATGGCAGTGCTTGCGGGGTGGGCCTGGAGAGAAGTTTGGAGAGCTAGCCCAGCCCATTCATTTTACGCACTGGACACTGACCTGTGAGGGGAGGTGCTTTATGAAGGACACAGAGTAACTAAGTGACAGAGTCATGTCTAGATTACGACAAACTCTTGGATCATTTGATTGCAGTGTAAGGGTCACCAGTGGAGTGGAATGGCCCTCTGCAGTCTCTTGGAACCCAGAATGGTATGATTTGAGCATTAGGAGAATTTGACCCCCATCCACAAAGAATACTCTTCTAGCCACATTGCTCCCCAACATTTGGAGTAGACAGTCTTCCAGGTTGAAAGGCTCTTGGAAGCTGAGATGTGGTGAGCAATAGCAGGCTGCAGGTTTGGCCTTTTGGTCAGTGTTCAAGTTTATGGAGTCGTGAATGGGAGAAAATGAACTACCAGATAGTTTTGGAGAGCAAAGCAATTAAAATATGGGAGCTTTGGGGGACTGGGGATACAGCTCAGTTAGTAGAGTGCTTGCCTCATCTGCACAAGGCCATGGATTCAAACCCCAGTACCACCACCAAAAAAAAAGGAGTTTTGGGTCAGCCCTTATTTTGAGTCTGGCTGTGGTTCCATTGTCTCTGTGACCTTGGCTGGCCTTTGCTTGGCTGAGTTTCCTCAGCAATGAGGATAGTAACACTTCCTTTTAGGATTGTTATGACACTTAAATAGGCATGTAATAAATGACAATAACTGCTATTTTTATTATTGCATTCTAGACTTTTCCTTCTTTGGATTTTGCTTATTTGAAAGATTTAATAACTAAAATGGTGGCAAACAAGACCTATAAATAACAGCTCATTTGTGTGGGTCTTGTCTTCCACTTAAAAAACCTTAATCATTTTTCCAATGTGAGAGATGGGGTGATGGCTAGTGTGTATTTCACTAACAGTAATGAAGTCAAGAGGAGTTATTTATAGACCATAGAAGAAATTTACAGCTTTGACGATGGGAGGAGGAATGCTAATTGTAGCACCTCGAGACATGCCTGGAACAGGCTCCAGCTGGACGCCTCCTTGGTGCCACTCTGCTGGGACCCTCCCTGACCACGAAGGTGGTTCTGTGAATGACATCTCCGGGGGAATTAGGAACTCTCCACCTTCCTAATGAGACACTTCAGTACTGTGTTCATTAGTGAGAGTCTGTAAAGAGTAAGCCGGATTTCTGGCATATAATAAGGGACGTAATGTCTCAAGACTAATAATAAACATCCACAGTGTTGTTGAGGACACAGGTTCTGTGGAACCTCCTTCTAAGGAGGGGGCCATGGGGCAGGAGGACACTTGTGCAATGTGCACCTGTAGTGAGAGGACTTTTAACCTGACAGGGTCGTCTCATTTCATTCTCCAGACCACTTTGGGAGGTAGCACGACGGCCCTCAGTTTGTAGATGAGGAAACTGAGCCGAGGAGAAGGGATGTAAACGGCTCCCTGTGTGTCTGCGTCTCCTCCTCTTTTCCCCTGTCCCGTTCCCCTTCCCTGTGCTCACTTGCGTTCACACCTGTGCTCTCCGTCTCCACGTTTTCTCATCCATGCGCCTCCTTCTCCACATTCCATTGTTTGACTGAATACTTATATTTGCAGATCACTGAGGACTATGCCAAATTAGGCAACAAAAATGGATATTTAAGACACACGGATTCCAATATTTTAGACTATGAAGGAGCCCACAAGCCTGGCTGCCCCGGAGACCAGAGCCAGGAAGCAGGGGAGCTCTTGGGTCTGCTTGCCCCTTTCTTGCACGAGAAGGCTGCATTGTCACTGGAATCCAGGTAGGACACGACCCGGGCCTGGTTTAAGGGGAGAAGGTGCTCGTTCTGCCCAGTGGATCTGGGTGATGGAGCTGGGCAGGGCACCTGAGAGCTCCTGAAGGGACTGGAGGGATCTTGCCAGTCCTGCAATTAACTGATCGGGCTAGAGGCTGTGAGGGGCCCTCCCAGCGCCTCCTGCAAGCCCTTTGTGAAGAGGGAGAGAAGGCTTTCCTTGAGAATGGTTCCTCGGAGTCCCGGAAAGGGCCTCTTGACTGTTGGGAGAGGAATCAGCTCTATCGAAACCTCCAGTTTCTACAACAGCTTGAAAAATAAGTTGCAGTTGTTGGGAGAGGAATCAGCTCTATCGAAACCTCCAGTTTCTACAACAGCTTGAAAAATACGTTGCTCTACGGACTTCTCTTCAGTGGAGAAGAGGGCTGCAGTGTTCTGTTTTTGTGCTCGGCAAAGCTGCCCTCCCTACTCACTGACGTCTTAACATTGCCTAGCGTGAGGCCTCCTGGGGGACATGCCCAGTGGCTATTCTGGTTTATAGGATAGTGAGGTTACCAGAGCTGGTACTTGAGAAATAGAGCATTTTATAAGCACCAGCAGGCTTGGCATCAGAATTACGAGATACTGCTGTCTCTGAGGACCACAGGAATGCTCTCGGGTGGTGTGAACTGGTTGTTCTCGGCTGGTGTGAACAGAGGGCAGAGGCGGATGGGAAGGGTGCTCCTTGCCCCAGGGGTCAGGAGATCTTCAGCCCCAACCAAAGATCAGGCAAGCACGGGGGGCCCCACCTGGTGAGCCGGCACTGTAAGCAGGCTGGCAGCGCCTGCGCTCAGTTACCTGCTCCTTCCCTGGCACCCTTGTAGGTCTGTCTGTTCCATAGGCTTCCAGGCCCTTGCTGGTCAGTTCTGGTGTTAACGGCTTTCTTTGTGCCAGTGCAAATCCACTGCCCCACTCATCGTTACTGCTCACTGTCCTTCACCTCACCAGTGACCCTGACAGTAGAGCTATGGTTCCAAGGGCCCTGCTGACGTCCTGAGCTGCACACACTCTGCCAGGCCCCTCATGCCAGCTTTGCATGCTCCTGTCAGTGATCTTTTTATAAAGATAAGAGCTGAAACCTGGGGACTTGATATTTCTCTAGCTAGTTAGTGGCAGAGCCATTAAAGCATTTTCTGGGGAGATACTCAGTATTCTTACTGGTAGGGCAAATACCAGTCTTCTGTCTAGAAATTCCTCCCAACAAGGAGGTGTTTCACTGCACTGGAAAAAACAGTGGGAGTGGGATGGGCCTGGGCCCCGTTAGCTGCACCATTCAGGTCTCGTGCTGTCTCTCCCACCTCAGTTTCTTCATCAGCACAGTGTGTGGGGGGTGGTGCTTCTTTACCCCACGGGGCTGAAGGAGCGCTGCTGGCTGCTGCTGCCATTCCCCACCCCGAGACCTAGGTTCGCATTGACCTGTTGCATCCCAGCCCTCCTCAAGGACTCGATTGGCCAGGTACTTGTGTTACACACATTCATAGGACTTGCCACGTTTCATATTTATTCTCACTCGTTCCAGGGTGAGTGCTCGGCCTGGCACAGTCAGGCTGGTTTGCAGCTTTTCTTCCCTCTTTGTCCACCTGACTGATGACCGTGCTGTTTATGTCATGGAGAAGACAGCAACAGTTCAGTTCAAACCCTTGCTTGCCTCTGGAGGTGCAAACTCTGTCTTTCCTACTGTGGGAGTAGAAGAAGAGTCCCTGCTCCTAGTCACCACCAGCTTTCCCCTTGTGGTTTAATTCCTGTCCTCTCTGAGTCCTCTCTCTTTTCTGAATCATTCATTGTTTTCCTCTCATTGAACCATTTTCCAGAAGCATAAGACATGCCTTGACATCAGACATGTGGGAAAAGTACCCCCGTGCCCTGATTTTCGTCCATTCTAGTGACTATACCATTTCTTTATTTCCGTGTTTCATTCAAGCCAAGGTATCTCAAAGAAACGTCTGTGTTCACCATGTGTGTGCTCTTCCTCCATTTGCTGCCTATCCCATCGTAAGTGCTTTCATACCCTCAGTCCACTTATCAAGGTCAGCAGTGATTTCCAGACTGTGAGATCTGGGCTCAGATCTCCCTGGCCTTCTGTTTTCCTTCTGCCCACGGCGCTTCCTCAGACTCCCGTGTTGGAGAACGTCAGTGCATCCCAGAGCTGCATTCTCAGCCCCTTCTTTTCCCCATCTCTCCTCCTGTAACCCAGAACACGCAGGGCTTCTGCCCTTGGCATCTTCCCCTGCCACAAAACCCAGTCAGTGTTCCCATCCGCTTCTTCCCTGTTCCTCCTCATGTCTGTTAATAGCATTGCTATCCACTTAATTGCTGTGGGCAAGAGTGTAGCTTCCTCCAGCCCCATATCCATCAGCAAATCCTCCTGGGTCCATTTTAAGACGGGCTATATTCCTGGTTCAGCCACTTCATCTCCCCGCACCTACCTTTGTCCAAGCTGCTGTTATCTCCTGCTTGGGCTCCCCAACTGCACACCTCCTTGCCTGTAGCCACTTCTATAGCCACCTCTGCCCCTCCATAGTCCTCCACAGAGCAGCAAGAGCTTTTAGAAACCTAGGTCAGATCATGTCTCTTCCGTTCTTAAAACTCTCCAGTGGGTCTCTGTTGCCCCTGGAGGTAGATAGGAGATGCTCAGCTGCCTCTCTGTTCCTCTGCCTTCGTCACTCACTCTAGTTCACTGGGCCCCAGACTCCCAGCTGAACCCTGTTACCGTTCCACATCCATCCAGGCTTGTTCTCACCAACAGGCCTTGTGACAGCTGTTCCCTCTACCTGGAGTGCCCTGTGCCTGGTGTGCAGGCCTGGCCGTGTCTTGGCTGGGTGTCAGTTCTGTAGCATGGCCTTTCTCGACCAGTCCATCCAAAGAGCATCCCTGTTTCTCTGCTTTACCTTCAGATTCACTCCTCCTCCCTTCTTCCCTTCTAGTCATGGTACTTTTCATCCCTTCCTGTCTTCTTTAGTTCTAGTGTGTGTGTCAGAGTTTGTCTGTCTCGTCCTTAATGACAGGTAAGCTCTGTTTCTCTTTTACCATGTGTAACTGCTGCCTTGCGTGTCAGATGAAGAGTACTCAGTAAATGTTTGAATAAACTTTCAGACAATTAAAAGCTTAACATTATAGCAGAAGGTGAGTCTAGAAAACTGGAGACAGTTGGTGCTTCTTGGGAGTCAGAAAGTTCTGTGTTCTAATATTTTGCTACAGGATCCTCAATCTTTGTGAGCCCATTTCTTCACCTATAAAATGTGGTTACTGATAGTTCCTGCCTCAGTCAGGATGAGAATCAGTGTGTTTAAAGGATCTGGAGCATGGCAAGAGCTTAGTGAGGTCGGTGCCTTGTTCTATACCATCTGCATGGCACTTGTGCTCGGGAAGGCAGAGAAGCGTGGGCCTCTGACAGGACCCTTGGACTGAACTGTTCTAGAGGTCCTGATTCCAGTGACAGCTTAATGAATCTGTGGTTCAGATTCCCAGCAAAGTAGCACTTGAAATGTTTTATCTAATAGCAGCACTGTGTTAGTATATTGTAACGGCCTCTTTGCACCTTTTACTACCCATTTGTAAAGTCTTTTTTGGGGGTTTTATTGCGTGTTGTTTGGTGGTGAGTAATGGTCCTCCTTTGGTTAGCTGAATTGCAATTGTCATTACTTCTTATTTGTATTAAAGGAAAGGAAAGGAAAATCAGTTTAACATCTCCTGATGCTTAGAGTACCAGAAATATTTTTTAAGTCTGGGCTTATTGTAGTTTCAGATGGTTTGTATATCTAGGTTCTTCCTGTTAGAAAAGAGTAATGTGCTATACATTTTAGGTCCCCCCCCCTTGCTTTATTTATTTATTTTTGTTCATTTCAGTGTGCTGTAACTGTTTAATTTGAATTTAGTTAACTTGGCCCCTGATCTAGATCATGGGAATTCAGCTATGAGGAGAGCCTTATCCCTGCCTTCCAAGGACCCAGTGAGGAAGATAAATGGGTGCCTGTCATTTCTAGTGGTAGTGAAGGTCCAAGGGAGTGAAGACCAGCAAGTATTAAAGGCATTGGTAGGGCCTGGCTTGTCTACGAGTTTTGCTGAAACTGGCAGGAAGGAGAAACCAAGGAAGAAGAATAAGAAGTAATATAGCGGAGGCCCATCCTGTTTCCTTCTCCCTGCCAGCCGCATGCCCGCACCTTGGAGCCACCTCTCCATTCCCTTCCTCCACAGTTCCCTACCTCAGTCTCATCCCTCCCTCTTCTCTTAGGACTCTCTTTTCTTCCTTATTTGCACATTCTTATTTGGAAGTCTTCAGATTGCCATGTGATTTCCATTTTCTTGGGTGTGAATTCTCTCTCAGGGCTGTCTCTCTTAGTGGTGGCTTTCCTGTGCAAGCTCAGGTTGCCTGTACAGGCAGCACCCGGCCTTCCTCTTCCTGCGTGTGGGCTTGAGGTGCCTCGGCTTGGTCTTGCAGGGTCTTACTAAGGGCCCTGGGCACTTGCCTGGTTCTCACTTCACCACGCAAGTCGCATTCCTGGCTCCAATGCTTTCTGCACCATCCCAGCCCCCTTTTCAGGCTTCTCTTCCTCTGTTTCTAATCTCCATTTTTTAAAATCCTGATTTTGAGCCCTGAATTGCATCTTGAAAAATTCTTTTATTCTTTTTTGCTGTTGGTTCTGCAGTCACCCTGGAGTAGAAGGAATCCTATGTGCTCACTCCACCATTTTGACAGGAAATCTGTCCTTTACCCATCAACTAGTCATCTTTCCAAACACATGTGTGAGCAGCCACCGCACCGCAGGCCTTTCAGAGGCCCCCTTGCTTATCATCTTGTCCATGCCTCGACTGCTCCAGCACCCCACCCCTGGATGGCCTCTCCTGGACTTTAGAAGCTCCCTCCGACATTGTCCCCACACCCTGAGTGGACTTTACAGTGACTTTCCCTTGCTAAACACCTGCCTCTAACACCAATCTAAGTCCCTACTGGTGGTTTTGTATGCTGAGGGCCCGTTACAGTGGCTGGAACAGAAACACAAAGGAGGCTTCTTGAACCGCTGCATGCCGGTGCCATTCCAGGTGTTCTACAGGATAGCTAAGTTTTGGTTTCCTGGAAAGCAGACCCTGAGATATGGACTTGGGTACAACTGATTTGGTTGGGATATGGCACCAGGGAGCTGAAATGAAAGCTCACGGAGAGTAAGACAGGATTGAAGTCCTACCCAGGAAAGGTACATTAGTGATCTGGTGACTGCTGGGCAGTGGGGGCCCATCCTACTGGGCATCTTCCAAGGGACAGTATGACCTGTGTTGTACCTCTGAAGGATGGAGCCTGGGTCACGGGTTCTCTGCCCCATGGGTTGAGGGTCTCCCAGAGGTGTCAGCCATCCCACACTTCCACACTGCCTTGCTGGCTGGCTCAGAGGTTTTAGAAAGAGCCCCAGAGGCCACTCAAGATGGGACTGCCTATGTCCACAGGAACTGCTCACACAGTTGCCACTGAATCAGAGGTGGGCCAAGGACACTGGCAAGGGGTATGGAAAGCATCTGCCACCCAGACACTACACTGCTTTGTCCTCATAGCTATCCTATGGAGAGACACTCAGTCTTCCTTTCAAAGAACCATGAAGTTAGAATTCGAAACCATTTTATTTTTTTTGTGTGTGATTCTGGAGATCGAACCTGGGGCCTCACCCATGCTAAGCAAAGTTCTACCACTGAGTTATGCCTCCAGCCCCTGAAGCCATTTTTATCCGCCTTCAAAGGCAAGGTACTTTCTAACCTGTATCTGTACCTGTGTGCATGTCAGTGAAACGTCCCTTCATTAATATCTGTTCCTTGAGTACCTATTTGCACCAAGATGGATCAGGTCACCCATGGACCAGCCAGGCTGGTAAGATTCATCCAAAGCCACATATGCCTTTGGTTGTAGGAATGGAGTCAGGGCTGTGGGGTGGGGCTGGGAACCCTGTGTATGGGGAGGGTGGGGCACCTTATGATCCCACCTGCTCCTTCCTGGGCCTAGCCTGCTCACTTGCTGTGTGCCTCATGTCTTATCTATGAGTTAGATGTCGTCGTGTCTGTCTTATTTGGGTGTTGTCAGGTTATACAGGATAAAATGCTTGGTGTGGTTCCTGGTATATTTGGGGACTCACTGTATTTCATGTAGGCAGAATCTGGGTAGGAGTCAGTGGGGAAAACTTGGGAAGGTGGGTAGGGGCCAAGGTGTAGCAGGAAGCTTATTTCTCCCACTTCCTTCCCTTTGGAGAAACAGGCCAGACCTTCTGAAAATGCTAGGTGACTTGCTTTTGGAACGAATATGCTTGGCAGAGCAGGAAGTTTCTGGAAAACACCTTGATGGTAAAACTGAGAAGACACTTCAGCAAATGGCCATTCAGCAAAGAGGTGAACTTGAACCTTTCGTCCAAGCCAGCTCATTCTCCAAGCCACATGATGAACAGAAATTGACTTGGGATCAGCTGGCAAAGACAGGCGAAGTGGCCAAGGTGGAGCTCAAGGATGCCTCAGTGCAGACTGTGGCCAAGGAGGGTGACCTGCTTGGATTCCGACAAGGAGGAGAGAAGCCATCTGGCACCATATTGAATGCTGAGCCCCAGCCAGAGACCTGGTGCCAGCTTCCAGGGCAGCAGGCCACTCCCCTCTCCGGCCCCTGTGCTAGCCACAAAGTAAGTTTGTGCAAACATTAATTATGTATTTACTTTATACAAACAAAAACTTGAAAGATTACTTCCATTTTCCTGTTTTTGTGAAGAGACAGTCTGGTGTCTCCCCCTGCTTGGGCCACTCCTGGCCTACACCTGGAGGCCTGGGTCCTCTTTAGTGTTCCCATCTTCCCTCTCTCCCGCCATCCCCACCCTTTGTCTCTCCTGTACCCCCGCACTATCTCATTTATCTGTATAGCATGGTATTTTGGTGTTTTCCTCAGAAAAATCCCACAGGGAATCACAGGCGCACGTCTGTCCAAGGCGTTCTCTTTCATACCATTTCACATGTCTTCTTAGAATGGGTGCATGAGAGTCCACTGTGAGGACACTTTCCCCCATGGACATTTCCTTTTACAGGGTGCAGTGAAGTTGTAATACTCCAACTTTAAGTAAGGATGAGACCTGGCTTTTATTTTGAGGACTTTTATAGGAAAGGGGTTGTTCTGAGAGCTTTGTCTATTGAAGCCAGGTTCTGAGTGCCCAGGTGTGGCAGTGCTTAAGGGCTGAGCTGAGGTTTACACTGTGTCTGACTGCACAGCCACACCCTCTCCCTGGTCAAGCTACCTGGCAGCCATGGTGGCTTGAAATGGTAGGGTCTGGTTTGATGAGCAGGTCTCTAAATGTTGGTTTCCCTTCCACTTAGGGACTCTCCCTGAGCTTCTCTGCAGATTAGTCAGCTATGCCAGATTGTTAAGAATCAGACTTTCTTGGCAATGTTCTATTGGACAGCAGCCCCCGTGGGAGAAGGTTGGGGTTGAGAATCCCGGTAGCAGGGAGATGTGTTCTGGTAGAGAGGGAAATAGGTCGGGTTTCTATTAGAGCTCCAGTGTAGACTGCTGTATTCTTACTTCTGACGGATGTTTTGTAGCAGAGAAATCCACTGTACACAGTGCTTCATAGCATCAGAATGGAGAATTAAGTTTATTTTCTGACCACTAAATTACTGCTTTTGTGCATACCAAAGAGAGTTAGATATATCATTAGCAAAATTGCTTTTGATTGTTTTAAATTATGCACCAAAACTGTAATTTCTAGAAAAGGGTTTTCTAAAGATATCAGTAGAGACCAAAAAAAAAAAACTACTGCCATTATATTAATGGTACTCAAAATGCAAATTTGTGCAATTGGGCTAGAATAGAAATGCTCTTACCTGCCCCAGCTCCTTTGGTTTGTACCTGCATATTAGGAAAATGAGGTGGGTTTTTTTTGTTTTGTTGTTTTTCATTTGCTTTCTTTCTATTGTATGGGAGATGCCATCCTGTGTTCAGGAAAATTGGATAATTAAATGGACTTAATTTCCCCAAATACATTAAATATTTTTTTTTTAGTTTGAAATTATACTTCTTGCTTTTATTTTCAAAAGGAGGGAAACTGTTTATTTTTGTCATCTGCTATATATACCAAGGATTGTGCCAAATTCTGTTTCATCTTATTTTATCTGCTCAGCAAGGGCGTGAGTTTGGTATCACGCACATTTTACTTATGAAGAAATGTTGGCATTATAAGGTCCAGAAAACCGTGCAGAGTGACTCAGTGGGCAGGTGGGGTGAGAGGCTGTGAGTTCGTCTGCTCGTAGAGGCCGCAGAGCTGCATCACACACCTGCGTGCCTCCTGTCACCATCGTGGCTCCAGGGTATGCACAGAAACGCTAGTGATTTTCTTTGTGACTTTGGTGGCCACAAAATTGATAATCCCATGGCTTAGGCCAAACTCTGTTTTCCTGTTATGAGGAGCATCATGGTAGCCGAGGTCGACCGAGACTGGTGTCCTCCTGGTTGTTCAGTCAGGGCTGAGCGGGCGTGCTTTACGGACATGCCTCCCTGGTGTTTGCACTGGGCTTGGCCACTTACCTGGTTGAGTTTTGGGGTGGGAAGTCACCTGACCTCTCTCAGTGGCTGGAATGGGACAGTGTAACCTAGACCCTGGGGCTGGCCAGGTGGCAGAGTGAGGCAAGGTGTTGCACATGCCTAGGGCTGCACTTTGTACCTGGTAGGAGCCCACAGTGTCTGGGCTCCTGTCCTCTTTCATTCCCAAGTAAGAAGTTCCAGTATGTCGTGGCTATTTAGGTGGAAGGTGGGACTGTGTTTGGAGTCCATAAGTAGCACTCTGTGTGGCATTCCTTTAGGCCTGGCATTAGGTTGACTGATGCCATCTTCCAGTCTGAGAGTGGCTTTAGCATTTGTGCACTTGAAGATATCTTTTCTGCTGCCACATGACACACAGATTTGGATCCAAAAATAGAGATTGGTGGAGACAAATGACTGGTATTTTCTGACCATTGTTGTTGAGGCAACAGCATCCTCCCAAGTGGTCCCCTCACCTTCTTTGTCTTCTTTCCTGGAATGCCAGGTAGAAAGCATCTCACTTCCTGAGCGCTGGGGACTGAAGAGCTGATTTGAGCCTGACCGTTGTACCTTCTTGTGGTTTGACATTGGACAAACATAGGTGTTTGATATTTCAGCTGTTCATCTGGAAAATAGGCAGGATGCCTTCTGTTCTCCCATGAGCTCTGAGAATGCAGCGCTTACTTGAGGGGCATGGGAGACTGCTTGAAAGCGTTTTACACCCCAGAGTGTGCAAGAAGAAGGGCCCCTACTGTTCCTTCTTCCCGAAGGGACTTTGGTGATTTCTTCATACCTCAGGTGCCAAATATTTCCTTTTAAAATTTTGAGTACCTTCTTTTTCACCATTTAAAAAATTTAACAACTTTATTAAGATATAATTCACATACATCATATAATTTATATATCATCCATTTAAAGTGTACATTTTAGGGGCTGAGGTTGTGGCTCAGCGGTAGAGCATTCATCTGGCACATGTGAGGCACTGGGTTCGATCTCAGCACCACTTAAAAATAAAATAAAGTCCACCTACAACTAAAAAAAAGATTCTAAAAAAATAAAGTGTACAATTTCAGTGTTTTTTTTTAAACAAATGAACAGTTTATTAAGAATTAAATAAGGGTATCAATGGTTTTAAGTCTATTCAGAGTTGTATAACTATTACCAATCAATGCTAGATTTTTTGTGGGGAGGGTACAAGAGATTGAACCCAGGGGCACTCGACCACTGAGCCACATCCCCAGCCCTATTTTTGGGTATTTTATTTAGAGACAGGATCTCACTGAGTTGAGGCTGGCTTTGAACTTGTAATCCTCCTGCCTCAGCCTCCTGAGCCATTGGGATTATGGATATGCGCCACTGTGCCTGGCTGCAATGCTAGATTTTTGTCAACCTGAAAAGAAAACCTGTACTCATTACCAGCCACGCCCAATCCTGCCTACCCCCAGGCCTAGGTAACCACTGACTCTAGGTCCACCTGTTCTAGACATTGCATATGGATGGGATCGTGCGCCATGTGCCCTCTTCCACGTAGCATAATGTTTCCAGGGTCATTCATGCTGAAGCATGGATCAGTACTTAATTTATTTTTGTTGCCAGGTAGTATTCTAATGTATGGTCGTGCCACATTTTATTAATCTATTCATCAGTTGATGCAATCTGAGCTGTTTCTGCTTCCTGGATATTAGGAATGATGTTGCTCTTCATGTACAGATTCTTGTGTGACGTATGTTTTCATTTCTCCTGGGTGTCTTCCTAGTGGTAGAATTGATGGGTCACATGGTAACTCCTTCTTTAACTTCTTGAAGAACTGCTGGGCCTTTTTCTGAGCAACCCCATCCATTTTATATTCTTCCCAGCAGTGTGTGAGGGTTCCAGTTTCTGGGTTCTCACCAACACTGGTTATCTTTTTGATTATAGCCATCTTAATGGATATGAAGTGATGGTGTTTTATTATGATTTCATTTACGTTTCTCTGATGACTAATGATGTTGAGCATCTTTTCATGAGTTTATTAGTTAGCTATATGACATTTTTGGAGAAATATCTATTGGGTCTTTTGCCCATCTTTTTTTAAAAATTAAATTATTTATTTATTCTAATTTGTTATACATGATGGCAGAATGCAATTCATTTCATATTACACATACAGAGCACAATTTTTCAAGTCACTGTACACAAAGTATTTTCACACCATTCGTGTCTTCATACATGTATTTAGGGTAACTCATTCCACCATCATTTCAGTCTGAGAGTGGCTTTAGCATTTGTGCACTTGAAGACATCTTTTCTGGAATGGTGTAACTCATTCCACCATCATTCCTACCCCCTTGCCCTATCTAAAGTTCCTCCATTCCTCCCATCCCCCAGTCTCATCGCCATCATGAACCAGCATCCTCATATCAAAGAAAACATCCTGCCTTTGGTTTTTTGGGATTGGCTTACATTACTTAGCATTATATTTTCCAACTCCATCCATTTACCTGCAAATGCCATGATTTTATTCTCTTTTAATGCTGAGTAATGTTCCATTATGTATGTATGCCAAAGTTTCCCTGTCCATCATCTACTGAAGGGCATCTGGGTTTGTTCCACCATTTAGCTCTTGTGCTGCTATAAACATTGATATGTTTTGCCCATCTTTTAATTGAGCTTTTTTTTTTTTTTACTGAGTTATGTTAGTTCTTCATGTATTTTAGACTCAAATTCCTCTCCGCAGCTTTTGGGAATGTTTAAAATTCCCCACTTGAAAGATACCTCATTGGGCCTCTGCAGTTATAGTTTGTATGTACAGCCCACAGTGTTGAGAGCCTACCGTGAACTAGTTCTTGTGCTGGAAGCTGGGGACCAAGATATGTGCAGCCTGGAGCTTATAGGCTGGTGCAGAAGATAGTGAACATGAAATCATAATGAGACTACTCATGTCCTCCGAGGAGAATTATAGGGGACACTGACTGTATAACAGGGAGGCTCAGCTTGGTCTTGGAAATCAAGGTTCTCTTGAGGAAGGCACGTTGAGCTGAGTGCTGATGAATGATTTTAGGGTAAGTGGAGGAAGTGGGTACGGGCAAGAGTGAGCATTCTAGGCCAAGGTCCTGGGGTGCAAGGGAAATGTGCATTTTGAACAACCTACAGAGGTCAATGTGGCTGGAGAGTGGGGTAGAGTGGGAGAGGGGCAATGATGCAGACTGCGGGTTCTGCAGGATTTGCAGGCTGTGGTATGGACTTGGACCTTTGTTGTAAGAGAACCAAGAAGCAAATTACAGGAGTTTTAAGCAGAAGACTAGCAGGCTTGTCTTTTTGCCGCAACGTGAAGAGTGGATAGAGAGAGCAAAGGTAAATGCTGGAGACCACTCAGGACACCCAGGCTGTGGCCCAGGAGAGCTAGTGGTAGCTAGTGGTGGAAGTGGAGGCTGGGAAGAGTTGAGAGAAATGGAGTTGCTGGAATTTTCTGAACCCCGTAAGTGAAGAAAGTGCATGATGAGAATAAAGAGATGCTTCAAAATGATGCCAGGTGTCTGGATTGTGCAGTAAGTGGACGGTCATGTGATTTACCAAGACAGACAGTAAGACAGTGGCATAGACCTGGGAACACAGTGTAGTGGAAGTGAAGAGTTGAATTTTCAGTTGACCCTGGACAGCCTGTAAGGCATTGCAAATGAAGATGCCCAGGATGAGCAGTTTGAGAGCTCCGGGCTGGAGACTCAGTAGCCCCTGGCATAAGGGGTTGTTCTGGTGGCCCAGCAGTAGGGGGAAGGCGGATTGGCTTACACTAGGAGTGGGCGAGAAAGAGAAAATAGGGTAAAAAAAAAAAAAAAGTTTTCCAGAAGATTGTGTTGGAAAAAGAACTGCCCCACGTGGAACATCTGGATCATCTGGGAGACAGTGGGCCCTGGCTGAGAGGGTGTCGGGGAAGCTTGACATAGATACTGTTATAGGATCCAGAAGTCTGGGCAGCCAGTTAGAATTTCTTTATAGGATTAGCATGAGGATGTCAACCATGCAACCAAAGGAAGTGCATTTGACGTTTTCTCATTGTTGTGTGTGTGTGTGTGTTTTTTTTTTTTCCCCAGGATACTAAGAAGTCCCGCTTGCCCATCCTCATAAAACCATCCCGGTCATTAGGAAATATGTATCATCTCCCTGCCACCCAGGGGGTGATAGCTCGGCTACAGGGCCAGATCCTAGAGCTGCAGGGGGAGCTGAAGGAGTTTAAAACTCGCAATAAGCAACTGCACCAGAAGTTGATTCTGGCTGAGGCAATGATGGAGGGGAGGCCAATGCCTGACCCTATGCTGCTGAATGGTAAGCACCAGGAGAAGCGCCTTCTCTATGAACCAGGTGGCCCGGAGAGCTACCTGAAGTGTCCACCTTGCTGTTTAGTATAAATTTCATGAATTGCAGTGACTATTTTTAACTCTTGACAAATATATAATGGAGGAAAACAATACAGAAGATAAATCTATTGCTTTCTTTTTATCCTGGAATCTGAAACAGGATTTGTGGTGCTCTTAGGTCTTGGGTTTCTGCTGCCTTCACTTGGAGTTGTGTGCAGGTGCCCAGTTTTGCTATGTGTTGAAGCTGGGCATCTTGGCCTGGCTCTGTCTTTGGAAGCCATAGGCATACAAAATAGGAAAGTGAATGTCCCCTTTAGAGGATTCTCTGGACTCTCCAGGCCATCTTGGAGCAGATTTGGAACCCTAGTGACCTCGTATCTTTGTCTAGAAGAGACCTACCGCCTCATTCACTTTGAATCTGCTGCCTCTGGTCTCCTGGGTGCCGTTGGGGGGCTGGGGAAGAGTCCCTGGGTTAAAAATGTGCCTGATGTTCAGCATCCAGAGACTTGGAGGAAGCACTTTAGGTGCCCTCTGGGAATCTAAGAATGCTGGGAGTCCTCTTGCAGAAGGGTAAGGTCAGCACATAAGTAGTGTTTTACATCACTGCCTCAGGATCTGTGTGAGTCCACGTAAGTACCCAGTTAGGTAGGGAGCGAAGAGAGCATGACACCTCAGAAAGTGAGTAGAGAGAGGTTAGCTGTGTCAGACATTGCTAGTAGGGTGCCTCAGACAAGGATCGAGGGTGGACCTTGGGATTTGACATCAGGGGCTTTAAAGAGCTGTTTCTATGGAATGTGTGGGGCTTGATTGGCCTGGATTAGCATGGAGAATGGAGGAGAAATGTTGACACCAAGAACAGACACCTCTGGGAGATTGCACTGTCAAGAGACACAGAGAAATAGGGAAGCCAGGAGCCAAATTATCAGTAAATCTCCAGGGATCTGGTAAACCAGCGGATGACCAAAGATGGCTGCAGTAAGGTAAGATTAGCAGCATGGTCTGGCAACATGAGCTTCGAAGTTGGAGCTTTGGGGGAAGAGACAGAATGATCTGGAAGTGGCAGTGAAAAGTGGAAGTACTTATGTACTTCTAGATCCATGATACAGAGATGGGAGAATAAATCACTACAGGGAAGCCTGCAGAAGAAACAGTGTCCTCAGGGATAGCCTGGGCCATTTAGCATAAATGGGTGAGATGAATTTTCAGAGAAAAGATTGATGGTCTTTGCCAAGAAGGGTGTGAGTACCAGGGGAAGATTGTGTCCAATCAGGGGATTCTCAGAGATGGGTCGGAGACGGTGTTGGAGGCTTGGATTTCCTGTGGTGCTAATAAAATGAGCACCTGCTGTTTGTTGAGCCCTACTATGTATAATAAGTACACAAGCCAACTGAATCTTCTCAACAGTGTCTCTTTCTTAAGTGGAGGCAGCAGTTTCAGAGAGAAGTGCCTTGTCTACAGTCCCACAGTAAATAGCTTTCAGAATTGGATGCCAAGCAGCCTGCGTGCATTCAAAGTCTGCATTATTTCCTGTTTCTTGAAGTCTAGTCTATGATACTTCTGTAGATTTTATAATCTGCAGCCAGAGGTGTCTTACATTAGGTTCTCTCTTGGATTTTCCACAGTTGAAGTTTCAAGGTAGGTTGGCTTGGGCAAAATTGTTCTTCCCTCCTTCCTTTCCCACCTTCTGTCAATCCATTCTTTCACCATCTAGGCATCTGTTCATGCATGCAATGAGTAGTCCTCAGCACCTGCTGTGTCCCCAGCCCCTCACACTAGTAGGAGCTGTGACTCAGATGCAGCCTCTGCCTTCTGGGAGCATCCTGTCTAGTTGGGGTGGGGGCAGCTGCAGATAATTAGTACTGTGCAGGGATGTGGGGGCTACAGAAAGGTTTTTTCCTTTCTTGCTGAGATATTAGGGGTCTCAACCAGATGCTGCTCAGGTTGTTTCCCAAAAGACCCTGGGGCCTCTCTCTGTGAAAAGTGGGCATGAGTTGATGGAATTCATTTTCTCACTCATAGTTTTTTGAGAGCCTGGACTTAAACCATTTCAGACAAGCTGCAGTATATTTATGCTTTTTATGTCCTGTTATGGCAGCTCAATAGATTAATTTTATCTTATAAATTGCATTTTGTCTCCCCAGTGTTTTTATTTTCCCTGTTGTATCTTTGTGTTCTTCTCAGTTGCTTGGCCAAGTTTCAAGTCTATCATTTTATTTTTCTTTTTCTTTGCCAGTGCCGGCAGCTCAGCCCCTTGTGGGACCAGCCTACCAGCAGAGCCCAGGAGAACAGATGGGAACCACAGCCATGCCCTCTGCTCACAAAGACAGGGAGGTGGATGACAACCAGCAGACAAGCCTCAGGACGGGTCAGAACTCAGCCCTGTGTGCATTAGGCAGCTACTGGGTGCCAGGCTAGGCCCACAACAACCCTTTCAGCGCATTAACATCGCTCCCGTCTAACACAAGGGACTCTAGCCCACGTCCGTCACCCAGCTGCCAAGCGGGTGGAAGAGCTCATGGTCCATTTGACAGGCCCTGTGTCAGGCAGGGTGTGGGTTCTGGTGGCTGAGCCTGAGCAGACACGCTGCCTGTTCTCAAGGTGCCTCAAAAGCCAGGGCCGGTCAACACAGCAGCCTGTGAGTGTTCAGTGTGGTGCTGCCGTTTGGAGGTGTGCACAGAGTCGGTCAGTGGGAACATGTAGAGATGTGAGTGAGGCCACTGTCAAGTTCTATGTCCTTTATAAAAAAATTAGAAAGTATTACTAGTGTACAGGTAAATACAAAGGATCATAAAGCATATACCCGCCTTCCCATTAACCAGAATGAGCGAATCCTTACTTTTTTCTTTTTAACTTAGATCTTTTTCTTTTAACTTAGATCCCCTTTCTTAAAAAACAAATAGTATTATTCTGGATATCCTTCATCTGTGAGAAGTAATGACCATGAGGAATAGTAAATCCGTCATAGGATGGCCGTGGGAACACCAGTCTCTGGAGAAAGGCCGTGCTGTGGCCCTGGTCCTGTTGGCCAGAAGTCAGGGCAGTGAATGAATGGTCACATGCTCCTGGGTGTCCTGGGCTTTGAGAAGAAAAGTACTTTACCAGGCAGTATTACTACTATTTAGTTCAATTGTGGAAAGTTCTAGAAGTACAATATTTTTTATTTTGCAAATGAATGGTTCTGAGGACATCTTTGGCATTCTTGTTAGTGATTATTGGAGACTTCTTGACACTTTCCCTTTTCCTTTCACTGTGGCCTTCCTATAGTTTTCTGAATGTGCACCCAGGACTTTGCACCGCCATTGTCACTGCTCCTGAGCCACTGCCTAGCTGAAGCTCCCTCCTTAGATCTAGTCCTAAACTTTTGTTTTCATGGGGGCACTCCTGCATCCCCTAGGATTTGAGCACTGTTAGCTCCCATATCCCTCCCGGCCACCAGCTGGTGTTGAATTGACTTGCCCAGTAACTGTCCTCAGGAATGGGGCTGTGTGGGGCCCTTTCCCTGCTGTTTCTTCTTCAGGAGCCTCATTGTACACACTTGGGGTATGAATGATGGATTGCACAGGCATGACTGGCCTTCCCACTGAGGGTGCACAGCTATCTCTTTACTCATGCACCCCAATGCAGGAGACCCCTACTGTGGGAGCTCTGTGAAAGAGGCAGCTTTTGGAATGTCATGGGCAGGCAGTCAGGCTTTGACAGAGGTCCCTGCCGCTTACTCGTCATGAACCTTGGGCAAATTCTCAAGCTTCCTAAGCCTGGACTTCCTCTTCTGTACAATGGGGATGGCAGTGGTGCCCCACAGGGTTGTGGTAGATAGGCAGCCTAGGTGAGGTGCTTGGTACACAGGCCAGGTCCTGGCACACAGCTATGTGTCCTGAGGCCTTGGTCAACCTACAGGTTTACATGTGCGCCACAGCCTTAAGCTCCCCATGCCCCAGGCCTTCTGTGAGGCGATGTTAAACTGAGCAGTGGAAGCAGCTCCTTTGGTTCTTCACTGAAGGTCGCTAAGCAGAGAACAGCAAAGCCTCATTGCCATGCTGCTCTGGCTGTGAGACTTGCTGAATACTGGCCTTGGGGCCAGGAAATCAAATCCTTGTTTCTGCTAAATCACAAATTGCTAGAGATTATGGACTTTGGGGGGGTCTTTCTGAAGTCAAAAGTATTGAGTGTGAAGTGTCTGAAAGTTATATTTTTTTGCATTGTTAGGAAAAAAGTTTACAGTGGAGGTCTCAGTGTGAGTAGAGAGGGCACTCCCCAGACATTCTTGGGGTGTAGCCAGACATCAAAGCTGACCACAGTATATCACAAAGGGACATTCCTGTGGGACTTAAATTTGACTTTACCTCATGATTTCTTAATGAAAGTCATTGGAACTAACTTTTAGTTCTGTGAGCAAATGTTGCTTCTTGCCATGAACCAAATTCCATTTTAATGAGGTTGTTGTAGTACAGATACATCCTTATCTATTGGGATGATGCACTGGAACAGAGCCTGGTTGAGAGGTCTGTCCCTCGTGCTCATGTGTGTGCTCTTACACTCTTCAGCCAGAAGTATTTACTGAGCACCTTCTCCGTCCTAGACACTATGCCAGACAGTGGAGAAACTGATGAATGCTGGTCTCCACCCTCCAGGACCTCATAGACAAGCTTTCCTATCAACTGTGTACAGTAAAAATTGTATAATTCCTTTAGGTCACATGGTAGCTGTTGTCCAAAATGAAAAGGTTTACTTTATAGTATTTGCACTGTGAGCAGAGACGAGTGGACCTACAGCTATAAGGAGCAGATTTTGAACCAGCAGTTGAAACATGCAGTCTCACAAGGATGCATCTGTGATTTTCTGAGAGGTGTCCTGGGTCATCTGCTGCAGACTACATCGCTGCTCCCCAGTACCTGGGGCCAGCCTTGGCTTGTGTGCCTCCTACCATGGGCCTGGCCTTCTGTCTTTGAGTGGTTCTGGGGATGTTTGTATTGGCTGGTCTCCACGGCTCTGCTCCAGGCACCATGTCAGCCTTTTTACAGACATTTCCATAGAATCCTAAAGAGCAAACACACACAACTCTTCACAGTGAATGAAGTCCTTTGCATTTTAGAAATGAAGTTACTGAGGCTCAGGGAGGTCAGTTAGCCTACAATTGAAGTCATGCAGCTTTTCTAGCAGTGGGCAGAGCCAGTGCTAGAAAACACATCTATCAAGAACTATGTAATGTTTTGAACAGCCAACAATAAAAAATTAAAAAAAAAAAAAAAAGAAAACACATCTGTTGGGTTTCAAAGATGAGTTTTTCCTACTGTCTCCAGCTGACTCAAGTATTCAAACCATTTCTTGAGCTTTCCTGGGTGGCAGGCAGCATGGTGTAGTGATTAAGGACAGAGGCTGTGGGTGAGGCCTGAGCTTAAACCTCACACAGCCACGTGAGGCATCTCTTTCCTTATTTTCCATATAGGGTAAATTGAGGCTCTGGGATTATAATTTCCTGTCCAGGCGGTGCAGCCAGCAGGTGGCAAGTCTGTGTGTGATTCTCCTGCTCCTTGGCCCCAAAGCTCTGCTTTGTCTCTGTTCTGCAGTCCACTTCTCAAACCAGTTGGGCTGCATCTCTGGTATTTGAGCCAGCTAATAGACACTGGCTCCTGACTGGTGTGAGTCAGTGAAACAGCTCACACTCAAGGGGACATCAAGGCATCGCCCGGAAACTCACCAATGCTGAAAGGAGGACTCTTCTGTTATGGATGTATAGAAGTACTACTCTGTAATGTTGCTTCATGAGTCCCTCAGTATTTCCCAGACTGTTAATGACTTCTACCTGTGCTAGGTACTATATTAAGCACTGAGAAAGTGAGGATGAAAGGACCCAGTCCTGCTGAAAAGGAACCTGCAGACTAGTTATTAATTGCTGTGTAAATGCTGACTGTGGTGCCTGCTTTGGCCCCCAGCTTGTGGTGCTTTGTCATGGTAATAAGTGTAAGATGCATGGAGGGGAGTGGCTTTTGCATAGTTGGGAGGTGGGGCTTGCAGGGGAGGAAAATGAGAGCTGGCATTGAAGGACAAGTAGGGTTCACTGAGTAGGAGTGGAATGGAGGGCTGAGCGTAGGCTACTCCAGGCAGAGGGCACAGCTTATGTGAAAGTGTTGGAGGCATGAGTCCACACACCGGGCATTGGGAATCATAGTCAGTTTCTGGAAAATCTCCTAGCTGGTGTGGGGTGATAATCCTGGAAAGGTTGCCTGGAATCAGATCATGGAAGGTCACAGGTAGGTAGTGGGGATACTGATGAGTTTTGATATATAGTTGGTTTATTATGGTTATGTTCACTCTTTGAACTTTTTTTTTCTGAGAAAGAGGTTGCATTGAGAGGTGAAAGGGTATGTTAGTTTTCTATCGCTGTGACAAAAACCCTAAGATCAACTGAGAAGAAGGATAAGTTTATCTTAGCTTCAGGTTTCAGAGGTTTCTGAGTGTAGTTGCTTTGGGCCTCTGGTGAGGCGAACATCATGGCAGGGAGCAGCAGTAGAGCCAAGCTACTCACCTCCTGGTGTCCAGGAAGCACAGGGGAGGAACAGTATCCTGCCCTCAAGGGCCGTCCCCAGCGAAGCCACTTTCTTCTACTGATTCCCTCTTCTAAAGGTTCCCAATAGAGCCACAGCCGAGTGAACAAGACCTTCGCAAATGGGCCATTGGGGTATATTTAATATCCAAATCAACAGAAGGAAGGGCCAGGGACAGGTAGGCTCGTCAGGAGGCTGTTGCTTTGTCTTGGTTCTGCTGTGGCAATAACAGGGGGAGCAGATGTGGATTGCGGCAAAGGAGATGCTGACATACATATATTTGATTTCCAGATCCTGAAATTTGTCTGTCTGATGATGTTCCCATGTTACCAGCATGCAAGGAGAATTCTGAAGATTTTCTGGGCCCAATGTCAGTAGCTACTCACTTGAGTTCTAAGAGTCAGCTTTCTGTTAAAGTCAACGTGACTGAGACTGACCAGTCTGAGAACATCAGTACCTTAAATGATGTGGAAAACTTAAAACAGAAAATCTGTGACTTGGAAGCTGAGCTGGCGGGCTACCGGGATTTCATATTTCAGCTTCAAAAACACTCCCAGTGCAGTGAGGCCATTATTACAGTTTTGTGTGGGACAGAAGGGGCCCCAGATGGGTTGAATAAGCCCAAGGGCAGTGCTGATGAAGAAGAAATGACCTTTTCCAGTTTGCACCAAGTACGATATGTGAAGCACATGAAAATCCTCCATCCTCTGGCCCCAGAGATGATTGATGGCAGGATGGTTGAGGGCCTCAAGCAGCAGCTGCTGGACCAGGGGGATGAGTTGCCGAAGGAGCAGAATTTGAACTTGGAACTCTTCAGTGAAATCCACAACCTGCAGAATAAGTTCAGAGAGATCTCACCCTCGAGGTACACTCCACCTCTGCCTTTTCCCCACTTAAGCCTGCAGTCCATCCATGTTGCCACTAGGCAGGAGCCCGTGAGCTACAGGGAACAGTGCTGTGTGACAGGCGGTGTGTGTGATAGGGAAGGCAGTCAGGCCTGTGGAGAAGTCAAATGTGAGGCCACAAACATGGTGCCCACGCACACCAACATCATTTACAAATGGTGCATCTTCTGAAGTTGGCAGGGCAAAGTTTGCCCTCGTCAGGTTGGGGCCTGGGAGAGGTTTCATACCAATCGCTGGGTGAATTATAGTGCTGTGGCTGAACTGCAGTGTTTATTCCTGGACTCTATTATTGGCTTTTGCTGCTCTGTGGAACTAAGACTGACGTCCTAGGCAGGGTGGGAGGAATATAATTATTTTCCATATCTTTACCCTTTAAGGTCATCTTAGAGAAATAAGTCTGTGTTGAAAGAGAAGAATTCTTAGGTCATGAAGATAATGCTTTATGAGTATAAATAGATACAGTTTTGCTTCATGAGATATGGCAAAAATGGGATCATTTGTAAAGTTGACCTTCATCCATCACTAATTTGAGACAAACACATTGTTCTGGATTGTCGGGAGGCAGAGTGAGTTTTTCAAGACTTCCCAAGCAGTGAGGTTGAAGGAGGCTTGTATTTTTTTGACTGGCTGATACGTGAGGCCTCTGGTCAGGAACTTCTCTTATTTGATCCTCCAAAGTTCCCTGAGTAAGAGATGCTCTAAACTCATTTTCATAGATAAGAAACAGCCTCAGATAGGTTGCTGTGACCTGCCTGTGAGTGTCCACAACTGGTCAGAAGCGTTGCCAGATTTGAGACCTACGTAGTCCCACTCTGGTACCCATGTTCCTCCTCCTCCGTAAAACTGATCCCCATCCTTAATACTGGCATGTCCATTCATGGCCTTGAGAGTGCTGGCATGAGGGAAGGGGAACATGTGAACAGAAATGTTGGCCAGGCTTCTCTGGAGCCAGGCCGCTGTGGCCACAGTGTATATGGGCCACTTTGCCACCTACTGACACTGTGGATCCACAGGGGAAAGACGGCACTGGTGGCCGGGAGCAAGGCAGTGCTGCATGAGAGCTTTGCATTTAGAGATGGTTGGAATCCTACAAGTTCACCACATTTCCAACTTCTCGATCCGTTTCCTTTTCTATAAAAGCAGAGTTCATCAGATAACAAATACAGTATTTCTCTCAGTGACTGACAGGCCCTAGACACTCACTGAATGGTGGCTTGGAGCAGGATTATTCCCTGACCTTTTTGTTGACAGGAGAATCCTGGCTTTTTCCCCCTGCCATACACTTTCTTTTTTGTACTTCTTAAGGATTTTTGGGTGACTTTGCTGACCTTTGTTTCTGAATCTGGCATAGTGTTTTTGAAGAGTATATGGAAACTAATTGTTCTTCAGAGTTCTTGCCAATCTCTACTTTAATTGGGGGCTTTATAAGGTTAAAAATATTGCAGAAAGATCTTAGTTCTAGCATTCATTGGCTGTTTGAACTCAAAGGAGTGACCTTGTACAGTTTCATTTTTTTCCTAACATATATATCCTTGTACAGCTGCAGGCTTTTAAAAATTTTGCTATGTCATTTTTCCAATTAGTGCTAAGGTCACAAAAATTCAATTCTGAAATGGCAAAAGCATTTTCTTTTCCCCTTTTATCAGATACGATTCATTAGTTCAGTCCCAAGCCAGGGAGCTGTCCCTTCAGCGGCAGCAGATTAAGGACAGCCACGGCATCTGTGTCATGTACCATCAACATGTGAACACCATGATCAAGGCGTTCGAGGAGTTGCTGCAGGCCAGCGACGTGGATCACTGTGTGGCCGAGGGCTTCCAGGAGCAGCTGAATCAGTGTGCAGAGCTCCTGGACAGACTGGAAACTCTGTTTCTCAATGGTAAGTGGGCTGAGGGACATGAGTCCTACCACATGGAATTGATTTGGGACTTCTTAGGTGGGCACGGAAGGAAGTGACTCCTTGCTGTTAGTTACCTACTGCAGACCTTGACCAGGTGGCAGCGGAACCACACTACTGGCCACTTCTCCTCCAGTGGCCACCTCCACATGGCAGCAATCTGCACTGTCCAAGCCAGGGGTCCAGTTTCGATGCTTCTGGGGCCACACTGGGGAGGCATATCAGTGAAGCCAGCCAATGGGTGCTGTCCTCAGCCATGGCCATGGGGTTGCTTGTTCTTGCAGATTTTCTAGAGAAGATGAGAATTGGTCCCTGTCCTTCATTATTTGTCGTCTTTTTTTTTTTGCTGAAAAATCATGAGTTTTAGACATTGGCAATCCCCCCCCCCCAAAAAAAAAATCCCTGTTCAAGCAAACAAAATCTTTATCAGTTAAGAAATATATCTAAGGGTCCAATTGGCCAGAAAGGGGTGAAAGGCTGGTCCTTTGCTATTTGCGAGGTATTTTAATAATGTTAATGCAATAAACCTCTTTTTTCTTTCTTGAGACCATAAGAAATCCCACATAGCCTCCCCTGGCTATCAATTGTTAGCATTTTGCTGCCTTTGTTTGCTACATTTCCCCTACTTCCCCTCCACACACACACACACACACACACACACACACACACGTTATCATCTTTCTGAACCCTGCAAGGTTGTATTGGCTACATATCCCTTCCCCTGTCTACATCAGTGTGTAGTTTTTCAGGTCAAGGACATTCTCCTTCACACCCATGGTACAATTATCAAAGTCAAAAGTAGCACATTATCTAATATACCATTGTATGATATATAGTAGAGATTCAGATTTTTTTTGCTTTTTAATACCCAGCTTATTACTTTTTTTTGCATTACAATCCTTATTACACATATAGAGCACAATTTTTTGTATCTCTGTTTATAAAGTATGTTCACGTCAATTTATGCCATTATACAAGTACTTTTTTTGCATTACAATTCTTAATACACATATATACCACAATTTTTCATATCTCTGTTTGTATATAAGGTATGTTGACACCCAATTCAAGTCTTCATACATGTACTTTGTATAATGATGACCATCACATTCCACCATCCTTGCTAATCCCCTTCCCCCTCCCTTTTCTTCTCACTCCTCTTCCCTATCTAGAATTAATCTAATCCTCCCATGATGTCCCTTCCTAACCCACCAAGAGTCACTCCCCTTATATCAGAGAAAACATTTGGCATTTGTTTTTTGGGATTGGCTGACTTCACTTAGCATTATCTTCCCTAGTGCCATCCATTTACCTGCAAATGCCATGATTTTGTTCTTTTTTAATGCTGACTAATATTCCATTGTGTATAAATGCCACATTTTTTTTTTTTTATCCATTCATCCACTGAAGGACATCTAGGTTGGCTCCACAGTTTAGCTATTGTGAATTGTGCTGCTATAAACATTGATGTGGCTGTGTCCCTGTAGTATGCTGTTTTTAAGTCCTTTGGGTATAGTCTGATAAGAAGAATAGCTGGGTCAAATGGTGGTTTCATACCCAGTTTTCCAAGAAATCTCCATACTGCTTTCCAAATTGGCTGCACCAATTTGCAGTTCCACCAGCAATGTATGAGTGTACCTTTTCCCCCACATCCTCGCCAACACTTATTGTTGTTTGTCTTCATAATAACTGCCATTCTGACTGGAGTCAGATTAAATCTTAGAGTAGTTTTGATTTGCATTTCTCTGCTTGCCCGAGATGATGAGCATTTTTTCATATATTTGTTGATTGATTGTGTATCCTCTTCTGAGAAGTGTCTGTTCAGGTCCTTGGCCCATTTGTTGATTGGGTTATGTTTTTTTGGTGCTTAGCTTCTTGAGTTCTTAATATACCCTAGAGATTAGTGCTCACTGATGTCTGTCTCATTCCTACCCTGTTCCCCCTCCCCTCCCTTCCCCTCACCCAGTGGATTAGCATCCACTTATCAGAGAAAACATACTGCCTTTGGTTTTGGGGGATTGGCTTACTTTACTTAGCATAATATTCTCCAACTCCATCCATTTACCTGCAAATGCCATAATTTTATTCTCTTTTAATGCTGAGTAATATTCCATTGTGTATATATACCACAGTTTCTGTATGCATTCATCTATAGAAGGGCATCTAGGTTGGTTCCACAGTTTGGCAATTGTGAATTGTGCTGCTATAAACATTGATTTTTCTGTATCACTGTAGTATGCTGTTCTTAAATCCTTTGGATATAGACCGAGGAGTGGGATAGTTGGGTCAGATGGTGGTTCCATACCAAGATTTTAAGGAATCTCCATACTACTTTCTAGATTGGTTACACTGTCTATGAATGAGTGTCCAAGCCCTCTTTGTATATTTTATTTAGAGACAGGGTCTTGATGAGTTGCTTAGGCCTTACTAAGTGGCCTGGGTTGGCTTTGAACTTGCTAGCCTCCTGCCGCAGCCTCCTGAGAACCACTGGCATGAGCCGCTGCACCCATCTCAATGTTTTTTTGTTGTTGTTGTTTGTTTGTTTGTTTTTGTTTTTTAATGAAAATTTTTATTCTTGATCCTGATCTAGGTTCTAGTCCCCATGTTACTTTTTTTTTTTTTCTTCTTTGTTCTAGGGATTGAACCGAGGGCCTTGCACATGCTAGGCAAGCACTGTACTTCTGAGTCACACACCCCAACCCCATGTAACCATTAGTTGACATGTCTCTGTGGTCTCTTTGATCTGGAGTTGTTCCTCACCCTTTCTTTATCTTTTGTGATATTGATGTGCTTGATGGGTTTAGATTGGTCTCTCATTTTGGGATTACCTGCTGTTTCCGTATAATCTGATTTATGGTTGGATCAGAGTACTTATTCAGCTTTGGCAAGAATGCCACATAGACGACATTTTGTTCTCATGATATCCCATGAAGAAGGCACAGGATTCACTTCTCCCATTTTCATTGACACCTTCACGAGCCACAGTGGTGTCTGTCTGGTTTCTTCACTGTAAATTATATTTCCCTGTGTAACAGCTAACTGGTGGGACTACTTTGTAACTCCTGAAGTAGGCCATTCATGTTTGAACGTTTACTCAGGAGTTTATACCATCCCTGGATTCTTGCTCCAGTCAAATGTTACAATGGTTGAGGCAATGTGGTTTTGTTTTTCTCTAACATCAGCATTCCTCTTCCTTTATTATCAGGTAACAGCTAAAAGAAGGATGCATTCTACATTAGTTTCCTTTATTTCTGTATTTGTTACTTGTTAATTATCAATATAGGCTTATAGATTATTTTATTCATCGGACTTTTTCCCATTCTTTTTTTCACATTGATGCTCAAATTGTTTCAGATTGTTAAGTTGCATGTTCCAAAGGTGGACATGTCTCCCTCATTTCAGGAGCCCTTTCTTCCTTTCAGCCACAACAAAGATGATTAGTCTTCTTACACTGTGCCTTTCTCCGAGTCAGTCATTTCTCCAAGTAGGCTTGGTTTCTTTCAGTGGGGAGTGCTATTTACAATCCAAGACTCAGTGCTGAGTGCGTTCATGGCCACTAGAGTGTGTTTCCAGGCCCTCAGGCAGGCAGAACTGGTGTGTGTGTATGTAAATATTAAATTCATTTTAAACTCATTGCTTCACAATGCTACCCGAGTCCATGCACACCCGCTGGTTCTTTCTTGTCTTTCCCACCTCCTCATTTGCGTTTCCCTTCCCCTTCAGTGAGAACCCTGCTCTAGCAGCATCAGTCTCTTTGCTGATTTGCTCATTTCTATGACATATGCAGATGGTTCCAGAATTGCTTCATCCATACAACAAAAGTCTGCTAGAAGAATTCATTTGTTTGTTGTTCTTTTTGTTTTTAGGCTAAGGGCATATAATCAGGAGTTGAATTTAAAAGTTACTTGGTTTTATTTTTTCCACAGTATCCTTATGTTATTTATTTGAAATACAGTTATATTCATTTGTTTCTACTTGTATTTAATTTTAGGGTTTTTATTTTTACCCTGTATCTTTCTTAACTTAATTTTCTTATTCATTTATGAAATATCTGAACATGGTTGCAAAGTCAAAACTTCTTTCCTTCCACATTGCCTTTTTGAAGTCTTTTCTTCTTCTCCTCCTCCTCCCCCCCCCCAATTCCATCCCCAGTCATGCTAAGCACATGCTCTCCCACAGAGCCGCAGCCTGAAGTCATTATCTTTGTCCCTCTCCCTTACACCTATTGGCATTACTCTCGTCCCCCTTTCTCTCTTAACCCGGTTGGGCTTAGGCTTTCCACCATTCTCACCTTTCCACAGAAGGGCGCTGGTTAAGGCACCAGCAACTTCTGCTTTGCCAGATTCAGTGGTCATGTCTTCTCTCAGACTACAGCATTGTTGGCAGGTCCACAGCTCCCTCCTTGGGGAAAGGCTATGCTCACCTGGCCTCTAAGGGGCCCCGTTTAGAGTTCCCGCTCCTCTGCCCTCCGCGGCCCTGGGTCTGGCCAGTCTTCATCCCTTGCTGCAGTTTGCACTGGTGTCCCCGCTGCCTGCTGCCCCAGCCCACCTCTGTGCCTCCACCCTTGCCCAGCACAGTCCATTTCCACACAGTGGTCAGAGCGACCTTTAAAAATGTCAGGCAGACCATGTCCCTTCTCTGCTTAGAAATGAGAGGCTTCTTTGAGTCAGTGGGAAAGTACAGATGTACTTTTTAAGCTGGGCCCGTACTGCCCGGCTCTGCCCCCTCCTCCCAGCCAGCCAGCTCTCCCTCCCTACCCTCTGTGACCTTGCAGCTGCCCGTCTGCCTGAGAGGCGCCTTCTCCAGGCCTCTGTGGGTTCTTTCTCTCTGGCGACCCTCAGCAGTTCTTGCCTTTCCCAGTTTTTCCCTTCTGAGAAGGGCCTCTGACGACTGTGTAAACAGCCAGCGTCCCGCCCACTGCTGGCCTTTCTTCTCCCCTGGCCCTGCTCTGTGTCCTCTCTCCTGCTTGCCACCACCTTGCG